CGGGCCAGGCTAGACGGTTTTTCCCTTTCCGCTCACGACGCTTCGAAGTCATTCCCACACCTCGACCTGCACCCAGCACGGGAGAAGACTGGCTCTTCCCACCAGCTCCATGGTCATCTTCCCCATCAGACCGCACTGCATCCTTGGCACTCGATAGCCAAGTTGGTGAAGAGCGCTCTCAGGCGCCTCGGCTCCGACGAGGCGGCCTTAGAGCACCGGAATCTATGCTCTCACGGCATGCTTCGCCCGCCATCAACGCAGAGCTGGCACTGAGGGTATCGGAGGAGATGGCTGCTATCGAGAGCGTGGAAGTTGAACGTCAAGAGCAGACGCGATCTGTATCAGAAGAGATATTACACTCTATTAGTGGACCATAGACTTGTAGAGATATTGATTTATTCCTGTAGGCAGGATATTTGTATCATTTTTACTTTTACACCTCCACCTTGCATATGTTCGTAGCACATGCTAGCAAAACAGAACATCCTTTAGACGGGATCATACTGAATTCACGTTTAAACTTGCCACATCTAAAGTATGCCCGATTCTTATTGGATCTGCATGCATCGCCAGTCATGTGAATCTAGGTTGCAATAGCCAAACAAGATCTATTCCGAACATCCATGATCAAGAGACGCAACAGACCACAACCCCGGGTACGAGAATCGTCGCCAGCTATAGAGCAACCTTCAGAGCTAGAGGAAGACGAGGACGAAGACAAATCACTCCCGTACGTTATGACCCAAGAGCCAGTCCGATTCAGATAATAAAACGCAGACAGTATTTCGGAGCTCATTGAGCTCAGGAAGCTCAAAAAGTCCAGACAAGGAATTGATGTTTCAAAACTATCGAAAGGCGATGCCAAGAAGAGGAAGCGCAAAACTGCAGAGGATGGACAAGAGGCCGAGGGCGGTCTGAGACCTGGTGCGCGAGTGGATGAGTATGTGAACATGCTACTCTGGTGTTCGTAGTTCCGCTCACTTCTGAACACAGAGAAGAAACCAGTACGGATGCGAAAGCAAGGCGAGCTGTTCGAACGAGTAACTTTACGCAGCAAACGAATGTTTTGGATGTCGACAAACATATGTGAGGTGTGGTGTTAGTCTTGACTTCTATTCTAACGTGGGTGTAGGATGGCATACATCGAAGAGAATCTGAAGATTCGCAGCCGCCCTCCAGATCCATCTGAGTCTAAGCCTGGGGCAAACGCTGAAGAAGGATTTTCTCTTTCCGAACGGTGGAAAGGAGAGAAGAAGGCTGCAGATGAAGGCAATGTCACTAACAGCATGGCCATGCTAACAGCCATTCCTGAAGTTGATCTCGGCATGGAGTAGGATTTCCTTCTTTCCAATCTATGTGCTTTGGCTGACTTGTGAGATAGTGCACGATTGAAGAATATTGAAGAAACCGAGAAAGCAAAACGACAAGTTGCTGAAGTCCGCAAAGAACGTAAACGACCTAATGATGAGGAGCATCTCGTCGCAACTCGATGTTCGTTGTCTCTAGCTTGCTGTTGTGAACTCACTAATGACGGAACTTAGTCTATCGACCGCATCTCAAACAGAAGTCCGACGCAGAAATCATGCGAGATGCCAAACTCGAAGCAATGGGTTTACCACCTCAAGAAGACAGAAGACCTCGCGGCGAACGTCCGCAAATGGCGACCGACGAAGTGGTATGAAGAACTTTGGTTTATTTCTCATAATGATTTACTCATGTCTCTCAGGTCATGGAGCGCTTCAAGAAAAGAATGCGCAGGTGAACTACTATCTCCTTCCTGCGAATTATCTCCTGCTTTGTTTCCAGCGTCACCCCGTGGTCTCGAATCGCTCAGTCTCTGGAGCACCTCTTGCTCGTCGTTAGGGAGTGCGGACAAATATACACTTTAAATGCTGTCTATTCCTCTACATGGCCAAGGACCAAATCCTTCAACTTTTCGAAGTTGGGTGTACCGTATCCAGTGACTGCAATGATTATCAGATAAATATGTAACTTTGTTCGCCGCATCCATGAACTCACCAGGATCCCATCCAACCGTGGCCTGCGTACAGTCATCACATCAGCTGCTGAGGATCGTGGAAAGTGGATATCACATACATTGAAGCCCTCAGTTTGACATCCTGGGTTGCGACCCTCTGTGATATCATTCAATGCTGTGTAGCCAGTGGAATACAAGAATGGGTTTAAGAAACCAAGAGCAGTCTTTCCGGCAGAAAAACGTGCATCGTTTAGCATGGAAACGAACGCAGTAAATGCAGGGGCAGCGCAGGATGTACCATCCAGTAGTGTCACCTGGCCTTGGTAAACTACCGAGAAGCTTGCTGCTTGTGATGACACGTCGGGGTATGCCTAGGGAAATATTTGTCATAAGACCTGCATAATTGAAGGGTCAACTTACACGTCCAGTGCTGAAAATGGGGAGAGTTAATTGAATATATGCATCTGCAAGCTCGTGATAACTTACGAGTTATAGAGACCACTGTACGTGCCTGGAGCGAGCGTTGCCAAATATGCCGAGACAGCATCATCCTGGTATGAAGGACGATGAAACTAGTGTGGACGTATTCTATCGGTCAGGAGGTGTCACGGAAGGCACAGATCACGCACATAGTTACTAAATCCACCACCAGAAAAGTCCGCTGCAATCTCGGGGATGTTAACAGTTCCACCGACAGCAGTCACACTGCAAGTAGCAAGTAATGACTTTGGTTCAGTGCTCGTTCAGATGGATCACTTACTATGGGACATGAAGCAGGGAACACAGGCAAGAACATCGGGGTCTTAAGACCATCATTGGAATAACACTGGTGCTCGAGAGGCTCGTCAGGATTGGCAACGCCGTCACCTACACCCCCGTCGCCAGACGAGAATATTACTGAGACACCACGAGCACCGAGTGCTGCCATGCCATTGCAAATACGAATCGCGTAAGACTGCGGGACGCTTTGCTCGTCGTCACCATAACTCGTGGAGATCGTTTGAGGAATTTTAACCTGCGAAAGGACATATTCAAGCCACTGAATGTCTTAGTTGTCAACACTGTATCCCAACCGCAATCGCTCAAACGCACGTATGAGTAGGGTTCGTTCGTATTACTCTCTGTCAACAAATCAGACTTGAAAGGAGGCTTCCCGCCAGTGGAGTAGAACGTTCCGGGCGTGGGCCAGGTAAGTCCAAAGCCGAATTGAGTATCAAGGTTGGCCTCGAGGCCGGCTGCTTCATAGCTCTGGTTATTATTGCCACCTGCGAAGTACATCTATGAGGCATTGCCGACACTAACCCAATCTCGACATACCATGAATAGATAAGGTGGTATAGTTTGAGCCATGAGCAGATGGGTTCTGAAGCTGGTAGAATTGCTGAAGATCCACGTTATTGCTAAATTCATTGAGATAACCTGCGATACCAAAAGCATTGCCGTTCGTGGCAGACGTTTTATAATCCACCGCGTTATATAGCTGTCTCAAGCACGAAACAGTGATCGTGTTGTTGCAACTCGCATCAACCTGGTTGCCTGCAGGCCCCGTGATCGTTGAACCAGGTGGACTCTCTGCAGGCCGCACGTGATTACTCCAGTGCAGCGTACTCCTGAACGCCTTGAATTGAGCGAACATGGTAGTGGGCTGAATAAGATCGATGTGGTCGTGCAAGATCTCAGGGAGGCTGTAGCTCAGTGTCCGGATGATGCTCTCTCCGGTCTGAGCGTGTTTGTAAACATGATAATCCTAGGCATCTAGCAATCAATGGAGATCTTCGCAAATGACATTCACTTGCTTACAGTAGTCAGCATCACTTCTGCGAGACCTACAGGGACACGGATAGTAACCCAATCGTTTGCAGATGATTGAGTGATATCTTCTTCCCCTAAACCGTGCAAGGCAAGCCATTTTCTGACGACGGGCAGAGTCTCAGGGTGGGGAGCCATGAGTGCATCGGTCTCCTCCTTTGACAAGTGCGCCCCATAACGTGCATGATTTGGGTCGCTTACTTCCCGGAGGTGTTGCTCGAGTTCCGGAAACTTGGGCTGAGGCAAAGCGATCTTGAGCTCGAGCATGTGATGCTTGGGTGCGGGAGCATGCTTGTACCACCCACTAGGTGGACCATGGATACTCTCTTTCACCTTTTGCTGGTAACCCTTGAAAGGGACTGCCATAGCCAGGACAGCCGCGAAGGGGAGACTGAGCAGAGCGAGTCTCATCGTCAGCATGCAACAGTCGGGGAGGGTTTCAACGCCCACGAGCCAGTCAAAGTTCGCATCGTTAATTTATATTCGAGAATCACAAAACTTCGAATGACGTTAAGCAATCTGTTTACTAAATTGGCTCTGCACTTAAAACGTTACTAGAACTTGTTGACGCAAAAGGTGTTCTAGTACTTACCAAAGTACATTACTTCACGACAATTGTCCAAAGTCAAATACGTCAGGCATCAAGATCATTGCGGTGATGTGGAGCATGGAGAGTTTGAAAACGCACATTGATAGATCCACCATCTGCCCTTGCGTATGTGATGTGTATGTGGAATATGCAGACAAGATGCACGTTGTTATTAAAGTCCACGTATCAGGAATTCTGTATGTGCCATACACACCGTAATCATTGAGAGTCACATCGCAAATTCGAATACCGGCAATTCCAGGTGTATTCCTTCTTTCCTTCTGATAGGAAAATTTGATGGCTTGTGACAAGCTGATTGTGTGGTAGCTGCATCCTTGACCAAAGCCACCTCATGACACATCCTTGCGATTCGCAACATGGCCACTGCAGTAAACCCCAGAGTCACCTGAGTATTGTTCAAGTCTGGCAATCGAAACTTGTCAGACTCACGATCCGTCTCTTCCAGCACGCTTACTACAATCCTTACTACTGGATATAAATCTGCTGCAATGCAAAAAGAATGGAATGCGAAGAGCTGGAGTAACGCAATGCACTGTGTTGCGAACTTCTATATTTCTGAATCGACCTGCTCTTAAAATGACATTAATCACCACAAAGTAAGCAAGCGAGGAAATGAGCAAACCGTAAGTACTGTCAGAAAGTGAGAACGTTTACATATCTGTACTCAAAGCTCGTAGTGTACAGGTCCGAGTTGAAGGCATTTTCGTGGTGGCTAGAAGAGTCAACAAGCCTCATTTAGAGTGACTACCGACGATCAACAGAGTAATACTATAGCTAGTAGCTCTGATATGATTGAAGAAGAATCAAATGAGACATATAGTTGAAAGTGCCGAAGTAGGACGACATAGCCACACCCGAACTCTCATCAAGCTGGTTGTCGTCGCCCTTGTCATCACCTGTAACTGATCCTGTCGTGTTATCCCATACGCCTAGCTTGTTTTCTTTTCTCTAGCCTAAAGCTGGGTAGTTTGCCCGCAGGCCTCGAACCGCACGCATATATCCACAGATTTGGACTCAGACGACTCTTACTCAGTACCGCTTAAACCTAACATGTCCTCATCATCCAAGACCGCCCGGGTAGAACAGGCGTCCGCTAGTAAACCCCCCTTCTTAACAATGGGCGAGGTGACGCCGGAGGCCCTTCGATCCTGGGAGATGGGGTGCGCTCAATTTTTTATGCATAAGAATGTCCCGGAGGAAGACATGGTGAAGAAGGTTGCGTGGGGTATGCAAGACCCGCGCATACAAGACTGGTACCTTATGAACCAGGAGGAGATCGACGCGATGTCGTTTAAGAAGTACATGGCCGAAGTACGCAACATCTGGCTTCCATTAGGCTGGGCAGACACCGTAAGGCGCAAAATGTTAGCTTCCACTCAAGGACAACGACCCTTCAGCGAGTGGGCTATCGATGTGCAAAGTCAAACTATTCTCTTGCGAGGGACAGCATCACACCTTCCCGATATCAACATTCTCTATCATCTCGAGTCGCACATGAATGCTGAGTTAGCTGTGGACTACCATGCGGAGAATGTTGAAGAAGGAGACCTGCGCAAGTGGATTGAAAAGATCCGCATTCTCGATGAAAAACGTCTGCGTTATCTTGCCAGGCAGAAGGAAGCCGTGGAAGTTGCACTACGTGCTGAACGCGCTCGTTCTAATGCCGATAAGAAGTCCAATGGAAATACACGTTTCAGCTCAACGAGCGGCCGCAACACCTCCAAAGGGACTTCGAACATATCGAAATCTTTCACTCGACTCCCAACTCTTACCGACACTGAACGCTAACTCTTACGTGATAACGATGGTTGCTTCAAATGTCGCGAGCCATTCGCTGGGCATACGTTGACAAACTGCACTAAGGGATTTCCCAACGCCAGCACCTACAAGACTCTCACACCCGCTTTGGTCACCGCAAAGAAGACTAAGATGGGTAAAGATGTTGTAGTAATGCCGTCCGCTGCTCTAGGAGATGGCACTGATTCGGGTGAAGAGGGCGTGGCTCCGCTACAAACCCCTCACCTTCGTTGGGACTGTCTTGTAGACGGGCCCGGTGTCTCTTCTCCTATTAATGTGTCTGCGCTTATTGACCATGGCTCTTCTCTAGTTCTGATTGGTGAAGAACTCGCTGACAAACTCGGATTACGTCGTCGGCAACTCGCCAAACCGTTACCGATTTCACTTGCATTGTCCAAAGACAAAATTTCTTTCCTTCTTTCGCAATTTATTAAACTCTTTTGTACATCTCTCGATCAAGCTATACGTCACGAACTGTACGCGCACTTGTCCCCCCAAACCTTTGTACTCCTCTATTATTGGACGGACCATTCTTGCAATACAATCGAATTGTCGTTGATCACGAGTTGCGTACATGCATTGCTAAAGACGCTAACTACGATCTTCTACAGCATACAGCTACACTCAAGTCGAAGGCCGCTCCACACTCATCTTTCTGGGGGCCGAAGCCCTTGTGGAGAGATGTTGCGAATGAGCTTAACACCGTCCTACCGGAATGGAAGGCCATAATCGACAACGAGTGCGAACCAGTCAAGGGATTTGATGTCGTCGCTGCCATACAGGCGCGCATCGATGATTTGACATACTAGGATAAGCTGAACACCTTTGATGCGAAATATAAGCTAATCTTTAAGGATCGTTTCCCTGTGGATATCCCGCATAACGATGCTATGCCAAGTGATGTTTTGTTTCGTGTCAATTTGAAGGATGCTAACAGAATAGTTCAACTACGGTCCTATGATTGCCCAAAGAAATATCGGCTGGGCTGCAGCTATGACGGATTCAAACTGCACAGAGAAGTGCCGACTGTGATGGCAGCGATATTCTATGCTAATCCAGTTCTCCATGGCCAGGCGCCATATTACCCTACATTGCGGAATCATATTGTATCATCATCGAACTTACATATTAGACAACCTCAGGCTCCGGGCTCCCCCCGAAAATCTTGCACTTCTTCCAAACAGACCAGATCACGAACTTGCAGTAACACAGATTCGCTAATGCCGGTTATACTCCCCCACCAAGCCTCATGAGTCAGATCCCAAGGAGAAATATGACCCTGATGTTTGGGAGCTAGCGGACACCGAAAAAATCTTGAAGTTCAGCCTACCGTCTTGCAGTCGTTGATTCACTAGCCGATTAGGCCAATCGGGCGCACGATAAGTTTACAACTACTGTGAAGTCCCATTAATATGGAGTGTCGCTGTCCCGGTGAAGGCCCACCGGGCTATACACCTCTACATTTATCTGCCGCGTTGATCCAATTAACCGTTGCCACAAGCGAAAATGCATATAAAATGGACAGGGAACGAAAAACCTTCGGCGCGGAGCAACCTAGCAGTGACCATGATTGGGACAGTGTCATAGAACCGGATAGCGACTACCTCTGGCGTGTTTGTGGTACTCGCCCAGTCTCATTATTGCTATACGTTACTAATGGGTATATATCGGTGACCCGCATACCTACAAGTACTTCCCACGTGGTAGATCCATACCCGTACCACCTGACCCGCGACGGGTACGGTCATCACCATATTTCTCAACTTACCCCCTGTGGGGTATGACCTGGGTTGAATCATGTCAGGCCATAAGTACTTCCGCCGACCTTGCAGTCTTCTGTTTTCCAACACTCATCCTGACTTTTCGCGCCTGTTGTCACATGCTGCTGTTCTCCTGCACCTGCCGTACTCTCACTTGGATTAAGTATTTTTCCCCCTTGTAACTAATAGAATCTTCGAGCACCTCCTCTCGCGGGTCTTGCGTGCTCTTCATGTTGCACCATCCATCTTACATACGTGAGCCCTGTGCGTAATCTGCGCTGTTGCAAACCCGTCTTATGCCCCGACATCTTTCGCCCACTCATGTGAGCTCTCCATTGCTCCTGCGCCTGTTTCTATAATACCATCAATCATGATTTGAATTTGTAATCTTTAGATCTTCGCGTATGGCCTAAGAAGACAAAACTTGAAAATTATTGATATGATAAGACCTTGCTACATGACGAATGCGGGCTGTTTTCGGATCACTACAGCGTTTAAACACCACCCGAAGCCAGCTACCAAAGCCCCAAACCAGAGTGGATGTTTCCTGGACGTTCTCAATCATTTAGTGACTCATCGTTGCCACTAACATTAAGACGGGTCTCGACGTTGAAGCCTCCACGAGTTTGGGAATAGTGGGTCAGTTCAGTCTGACACGCGCAAGCATTGCCGTCGATCAGTCAACCTTGCACTGGTACTCGGAAGTCCGAAATATCGATCTGAGACAAAGCAGTGACATAGTCTACGGGTGGAATAAGGGCTGTTGAAAATACCAACCCGAGTACATAGATCGTAGTGCTGGATCGCGCGGACATGTCGGAATTTGGGATTAGACGCTCGACGGGCCTCGTCAGTTCTACCATATAATTGCACCCTCGAGCTTCTTCGAAAGTGATTATTTTGTGCGGGTTCACGGAATACTTGGGAACACCTAGCTCAAGAAGAACGCGGAGATGAAAGACCAAAACAACATCTGCGAATGACCTTGTTTTCTTGTCCAGTGTCGGTCCGAGTCACTGCCTTGAATCGCTAAGGAGATGTTTTTGCTCACTTGTATATAAAATTGTTCTTTTAAAACTATAAAGGCCTGAAGGAGTGAATATATGCGATGCACGTGCATCCATCATAGATCCCGTCTAACAAAACGGACTTCGTGTGTATATATTTTAAGGCATGGCCAAGACCAAGTCTTTCAATTTCTCGAAGTTGGGCGTGCCGTATCCAGTGACTACAGGTATGATCAGCATGTGGACATGTCATAACTTCGTTCGCTTTCATGAACTCACCAGGATCCCATCCAAGAGTGGCCTGCATACATGTATCACATTAGAATATGACTCGAAGGCGTGCACACATGACATACATTGAATCCCAGAGTTCCACATCCTGGGTTGCTCCCCTTGGTGATGTCGTTTAATGCAACGTAGCCAGTGGAATATAAGAATGGATTCAAAAAGCCAAGAGAAGTCTTTCCAGCATTGATGCGTGCGTCGTTCAGCATGGATACAAATGCGGCAAAGGTGGGCGAAGAACAGGATGTACCACTGATCAGATTCTTCTTGCCTTTATAAATGACAGAGAAGTGTAATCCTTGTGCGGCCACGTCAGGGTATGCCTAAGAATATGGTTGTCGTAAGATTTCTGCAAGTTGAAGGGTTAACATACACGTCCGGTCCTGGAGATAGCGAGTTAATTGTGTCTAGTGCATTCGCCAATCTGTGGTGACTTACGGATCATAGAGACCACCGAAGGTCCCGTGGGCGAGCGTCTCCAAGTATGTAGACACAGCAGCATCCTGGTACGCAGGACGAGGAAACTTGTACAATTGTGATGTATGGGTCAGAAGGTTTCTATGTGCGAAAGAGAGTACTTACATAGTTGCTGAATCCACCACCAGAAAAGTTCACGGCAGTCTCTGGGATGTTGACAGTACCACCAACAGCAGTCACGCTTAGGTCTAAATTGGCCGCTGTTGCTCCTTGATTGGAGATATCACTTACTATGGGCAGGAAGCGGGGAATATGGGCAGGAATGTTGTGACGTTGCGCCCGTCGTTGGATTTACATTGTTGACTGGCAGGGTCGGGATTACCATCACCAACACCATCATCACCAGAGGAGAACAACAAAGAGACCCCGCGAGCACCGAGAGATGCCATACCGGCGCAAACACGGATCGCATAGTTGTACGGAACGGTTTGTTCATCATCACCGTAACTGGTGGAGATCGTCTGAGGAATATCATCCTGTGAAAGCAGGTAGTCAAGCCACTGAAGACCGTAGCCATCAATACATTGAATTGTAATCGTGATGATTTGAACGCACATATGTGTATGGCTCATTTTGATCATCCGGGTACACCAGGTCGGGGATGTAAGGAGGCTCACCACCGGTCGTGTAGAACGTTCCGGGTGTGGGCCATACGAGTCCGAAACCAAACTGAGAGTCGAGGTTGGCTTCCGGACCTGGATGGCTCTGGTTGTTCACTCCGCCTGTGGAGAAAATGAACATAACCATCAACGATGTCCGGATGCAACTCACCATGAATGGAAACCAGAGTGTAATTTGAACAGTAAGCAGAGGGATTTTGGGCCTGGTAGAATTGCTGGAGGTCCTCATTATTGACGGACTCATTAAGATAACCGGTGAGACCAAGCTTGTTGCCGTTTGCAGCAGTTGTTTGATAGTTCTCTGCATTATATATCTGCCTCAAGCAAGAAAGGGTGATCGTGGAGTTGCAGCTCGCGTCGACGGGATTGCCCGCAGGCCCCGTGATCATTGTCCCCGGAGGACATGGGGCCGCAGGCTGCGCCTGATCAGTCCAGTGCAACGTACTCCTGAACGCCTTGAAACGAGCGAACATGGTCGTAGGCTGGATAAGATCAACGTGATCATGCAAGATCTCAGGGAGACTGTAGCTCGTGGTCCGGATGATGCTCTCTCCAGTCTCGGCGTGTTTGTATACATGGTAAGTCTAGAACAGACCGTCAATCAATTGCAACTTCCGACGGTGGCTATGCCTCGCTCACAGTATCCAGCATCTCTTCTGCGAGTCCGACTGGAACACGAATAGTAACCCAATCAAGTGCAGATGAACGGACAAGTTCTTCCTCCGCCAGACCGTGTAAGGCAAGCCATTCGCTGACGACGTCTAGAGTCTCAGGGTGAGGAGCCATGAGTGCTTGAGTCTCCTGCTTCGATAAGTACGCCCCATAGCGCGCGTGGCTGGGATCGCTTATCTCCCAGAGGTGCTGCTCGAGTTCCGGGAACTTGGGCTGAGAAAGAGCAATCTTGAGCTCGAGCAAGTGATGTTTTGGTGCGGGAGCATGCTTGTACCACCCGCGAGGTGGCCCATGAACACTCTCTTTCACTTTTTGCTGGCAGCCCTTGAAAGGGACAGTGCTGGCTAGAGCAGCAGCAAAGGGAAGAACGAGCAGAGCGACAAACTTCATCGTTAGTGCACAACACAAGTCAGGTTGGTACTCACGAGAATTTCTCGAGTACTCACATATATCGGGATCGCCATCGGGATAAACGTAGGCAATGCTTAGATTGACGTGGCCGACCTCGCACCGACGTTCAACGCTGTCACTGAGCTGGATAATGCTTCGTCATACGTGTCGATAGAACTTTCAAATTTGGTCAATTATTTTTCCGACAGCATCAAGATGTGGTCGCCGCCGTAATAGCGTGGGCACTTTGAGCTAATCTCGGAGAAATACATCACTGCAACTTGCCTGTCAAATGTATGAAGTAGATCATACGGTTGGGGCGGACCAACCTGTATGGCTGGAAGTTGTGATCCTCCGCCAGCATACAAGAGACAGGATCTATATATTCATGGCCACAACGAAAATCTCGATATGTTCTTGAGCCGTGCTCTTCGCGTGTGAAACAGTCACAGATTACCTGTATCACTTGGCGTGATTGATATTAGGTACTGCGTTTGTTGATCGTGACTGGGACTCAGGGAGTGAAATGAACGTGAAGTTCTGCGGTCCGTCATTCTGGTGAGATTAACGATTTTCATGTATTTGCTCAATTCTTATGTAAACACTAGATGATTTTTAGGAAACGTTATTGAAATATGAGCATCGTCTCGCACCTTGTCTAAACCGCAGATCAGTTGTATCTCCATTCCAATGTACAGTGTTGAGGTGTCAAAGGGCATGTAAGCAATGTTGCATCATAGTCACGGAGTTTGCTAGGTGTTAAAAATGGAGTGAACATGGACAGCAGATTCCAGAAGTTCTCGTTCGAGCTTGCTTTATGAGATCACTGCGTGTGTCCCGTCGAAGGTCACCAACTTACGGGTGGAATGGCGATGAGCTGATCCCTAGAGTCATTTGCGAGTGCAACTGTGAGAGTTTCGTCGTGGATTCTTTTTTTTGCTGCTTCGAGCCCTGACGTTGTCGATGCGGGTATTCCTTCACGACAAGAACAGAACGTATCCTGCGGGCTAGACTGGCGCTGAGCCAAGGCGGCACAAACCTCACGTCCGACGTTGAACGCCGACAGTCATGATGAATTTTAGTGAACTGAGGGTCAATTTTACAAATTGAATAAGCGGCCACCGGACTTTCTATTCCGCGGTAGTAACCAGGAATAATAGTCGCCCAGTAACTATGACAGCTTGAGAATGGCTTATGTAATTCAAGGTACTGTGGCGCCATTCTCCACAGCCTCAGTGTGGCTAAGCTACCAAGTCACAGGCCCGACAGACGACAAACCTGCAAACCTCAGGGCTGCTCTCACTGAAACTCGACTGCCACAGCTATTTAATCATGGTAAATGGCCTCATGAGTCCTCCAATCAAATCAGTACACACGGAGAGGCTGCTGCATGTGGATCAATCCAATTTTCTCAGCAGTGCATGCGGTCTGAGGCCTGAGGATCCGAGTTGGAGGACTCGATCATTTGGGGAATCGGCTAACGTCACACGAGATCGCCAAAATTATCGTATATAACGTTCTTGTAAGTCCAAACGTTTTCCCTACTGACAAATGAGACTCATCTCCCTGCTCGGGCTCCCCTTTGTGGCTGCTCTTGCTACTGCAGCTGTACCCTTCAAGGGCTGCCAGCACAAGGTAAAGGAGAGCATTCATGGTCCGCCCCACGGATGGTCCAGACATACCCCTGCTCCCAAGCACCATATGCTCCAGCTTAAGATTGCTTTACCTCAGCCCAAGTTCCCGGAGCTCGAGCAACACCTCTGGGAGGTGAGCGACCCCGATCACCCACGCTATGGGGCACACCTGTCGAAGGGAGAGACCGATGCTCTCATGGCTCCCCATCCTGAAACTCTGGACATCGTCAATGAATGGCTTGCTTCATACGGCCTGACAGAAGAAAGTCTCATTCGTTCATCTGCAAACGATTGGGTCACTATTCGTGTACCAGTCAGCCTTGCCGAAGAAATGCTGGATACCGTGAGCAAACTAGTCTTGTCTCCAAAGATTACGGTCCATTGACTGCTGGATGTCTAGAGTTATCATGTATACAAACACGCTGAGACTGGAGAGAGCATCGTCCGGACCACGAGCTACAGTCTCCCTGAGATCTTGCATGATCACGTTGATCTTATCCAGCCTACGACCATGTTCGCTCGTTTCAAGACGTTCAAGAGCACGCTGCATTGGTCTAACGAAGCTCAATCTCAAGTCTCGAGCACGTCCGGTGGAACTATCACAGGGCCTGCAGGCAATCAGGTCGATGCAAGTTGCAACAGCTCGATTACAATTTCATGCTTGAAGCAGCTATATAATTCGGTAGATTACACCACATCTGCTACGAATGGCAACAAGCTTGGCCTCACTGGTTACCTGGGTCAGTATGCCAATAACATGGACCTACAACAATTCTACCAGCTTGAAAACCCATCTGCTTACGGTTCAAACTACACTTTCGTTTCCATTAACGGTATGCTGCATTCAAAGCTCGGTGATTATGCTACTGATTTGTCTCACAGGTGGATTGAACAATCAGTCCTATGAGGCAGCAGGCATTGAAGCTAACCTTGACACTCAATTTGGATTTGGACTCACATGGCCCACTCCTGGAACATTCTACTCCACTGCTGGCGAGCCCCCTTTCGACCCTGACATGTTAACGCCGACTGATACAAATGAGCCATACTCATACGTGAGCTTGGGTAACTGTAATTCAACTTCTAATGCGCTGATGTATGATCCCAGTGGCTCGATTACGTTCTTTCTCGACCTATGCTTCCTCAAACGATCTCTACCAGTTATGGTGACGATGAGCAAACTGTCCCGTTCACCTATGCAAGCCGGGTCTGTGCAGGCATGGCAGTTCTCGGTGCTCGTGGAGTGTCTATTTTGTTCTCCTCCGGTGATTCTGGAGTTGGTGATGGCGATCCAGACCCTGCTACACAGATTTGCTACTCCAACGACGGGCTCAATGTCACGAAATTCCTGCCTGCTTTTCCCGCTGCATGTCCATAGTGAGTGATCTCGGCAATAGAGGGGAGTATAAAAACTAAAGATCAAATCAAGTGTGACGACTGTGGGCGCCACTGTCAATATCCCGGAGACTGCTGTATCCTTCTCTGGTGGTGGTTTTAGTAACTATGTGAGGAATCTGACAGTCATGATTGATACCTGTTGAAATGCTAACGCGTTCCCTCAGTTCGTTCGTCCAGCATACCAAGAAGTTGCCGTCTCAGAGTACCTAGAAAAACTCGCTCCTGGTACCTACGAGGGTCTTTTCACTCCGTAAGTGCAATAAGCTACTCCTATCGGTGTACATTAATCGAGTCACTTATCTCTAGCTACGGGCGCGTAAGTGACCTCTTCAGCATGCAAGGATCTGAAAGCTAACATTTATTCAGGCCTATCCCGATGTGTCGGCCCAGGGGGTGAACTTCGCTGTTATCTACCAGGGCAAGGAGGTACCTGTTGACGGCACATCCTGTTCCTCACCCACATTCGCTTCGTTCATTTCAATGCTTAATGACGCACGCCTTAACGCCAGCAAATCCCCTCTTGGCTTCCTTAACCCTTTCTTGTACTCCACTGGGTATACTGCACTAAATGATATTACCATGGGACACAATCCGGGATGTGGAACTCAGGGCTTCAATGTATGTCATATCTACATGCCCTCAAGTCGTGTGACTGATCTGATCGCCATGCGCAGGCTACAACTGGATGGGATCCTGGTGAGTGCATGCATTTGGCAAGTGATTTTCTATTTCATCGTTGACGATACCTGCAGTTTCAGGTCTTGGGACACCCAATTTCGAGAAATTGTTGGGACTAGTCTTGAGCATGTCCTAAACATGGTAGATGAATGGACAATCTATGATTGCTGTGTACATCATGAATGGCGTATAAGGGTGCAACGGTACTAATACGAGAGGCCCTCGGCAAGGATGAGACGCCGAAGTCAATGACTGAAGGTAATTGAATCCACTTGCACTGGTGACGGACACTCGAAGAGTGAGATTAGGGGCAAGCAGGGCCCTCCAGCTTAATGCTCGGAGGGCTCGCGATCAATTGTCGCACCGAGGTGCGATAGCTTGTGCATGAAAACTGAGTCGCATGATTATCGTACACAGACACTCATGACCAGAGGGAATGCTAATTTACCACAAAAAGTGACTGATGACGAGAAGAGTCGAGTTTATGGGGCTATTTTTTTTTGATTAGTTTTAGCATCGAGTAACGGAGCCGCATATTATGACTGCAAGACGACAATGGAGAACAAACCATGACGTGGCAATTGAACACAGAAGTGAACAAATAGAGCTCTCGATCCTGGATCCTGAAACCGCGTATGAGGAGATGGAGCAGAAACGGGTGCCTGCGGCAATCTCTGCCCATCCAGCTTCGTGAAATTCCGGGTAGCAGCAGTGATATATGAGGTCTTCGTCGCGCTTCCTTAGGATCTTGTGACCAATTCCCAGTTGGGACACTTTTCCACCAGCTCAAGTTTGGGTACAGACGATCATCCAGGGTTGGTTTGAGTCGAAGTCCCTGGTCGTCCGGGTCCGATAAGAGACGTTTGCGTACTGATTCTGAGTTTGATATGGAAGCTTCAAGTTTGATAAAGAATTCAATAAATAGCTTAGATTATAGCGCAGGACGTGCGCGTGCTCGAACGCTGGATGACGGCGAAGACGACGACAAACGTGTCAAGTCTGCCGGAACAAGAGGCTCAGCTAAGAGTATACGTCAGCGTAACAATTGCGCACAGACCAGTAATTTCGGCCTGAGCCGAGTGCGAATGTTGATTCAACTTGTTTAAAACTCGATACAGGAAAGAGCGCGCAATGTCTTGCCCTGCAATGGATCAACTGAACATTGCTTCACATGATGTGGACGTCAGTAAGAAATTCCATCTAGTCGATCTAGGTCTTCATCATGATGGACATGGGGCACTGGGTTTAGTAGATGCCGGGTATGAGCCGGTACCTGACCGTATTTGCCCACCTCTGCCATTCGTCTCCAAACATAGACTTCACGACTTCTTCCTCTTGATTGATCCTGCGCACGAGGCTTGTCACAGTAATCGTTCTCTCCAATATCCATGCCAGCAGAACTGGTTTCACTCCAGGGAGACTTAAGACTCCTGATTGTCTAAGCCACGAAGTCGCAGATCCGTGCAAGACCACTATGCCGATGTACTGCAGAATAGCTGCCGAGTAGGAGGGATGGCGTACGACCGAATATGGTCCATTCGTGACAAGCTGGTGACCCTTGCGGGCAGTGAGCTCGAATGTGAAGAATTTACCAAGGGTCCGGAAACATGACCAGCGGAGGTATCCCGCCGTGGCAACGAGTGCGGTACCGAGGATGAAAGGACGAGTGATTGGCACGTCCTGGATTCTCGGAAGAAATGGACCGATCGTGTTTTGTATCACGCTGGGAAGTGTTTTGGGATCTGCCATACGAGAGACGGCGAGAGCTATTTCTGCCAAAGAAACACCCCAGTAAACTATCTGGACGTAGTTCCATCAAATAGAATTGCGGAAGATCCGTGAATGGGTACCTTTGAGATCGGGAGCCCGTATTTAACGTGCTGGATGATGACCCACTCATTAAAGTTATCATGAACAACCTCGTTCTTTGGTGGGGCGTGCGGGGGAGTGAGCGCTACGTGCACAGCGACAGCAGACGAGAGAATGAGTGGGATTTTGAGGAGGGACATTTTCATAAAGAATCCTTGACCTTTTTGGTTACTTTTATAGAATCCATCGGGAAGTGCGGCACCGTGATCCACGAAACTGCTTGTATACGTTGTCACTATCCGGTATGTCAATCTGATTGCGGCGGATATATAATTGCACCAGGTGATTCTTCCACGCAAGTCTAATTGGTCGATATTCTTGAGTTTTCTCGCGCGGGCCGTGTGAGTAGTGAAATGATATGAGCCGATGAACTATAAGCACATAGAAACAAAAATGACGTAGAGGGATATATCCGCGTATTTCAGAGGGGAAGAGGCATCGATGAGACATGAGGACCGCTTCGCGCCTTGTTCGGAAGTACTGTGTCAGCGTGTAGAAATATACGATCCTTACATGAGTCTGACATGGGAGTCTCGGCAGGACGGTTATGGGCAGGAGGACCTTGGTATCACATTGGAAATTCTTGCATGACGCAGTGTTTGACTGAATTAATTAAACCTGAAGTGTTCATATGAGAGCAATATGAAAATGCAGAATGATGCAAACAGCCTTACTCACTCCCGGAAGGTGTGGTCAACAAATGTAGCTGTTAGCATCTGATCCTTCTGGGATGTATATGGTTCAGATGAGTCTGAATTCATAGCTTACCCGACATCCTTCCTGAATCAGATGAGAAATCTTGCGCACGTCCGGACAGGCGACAACGCCTGACGATTTGTAGAGAAAAGAAGTCGGTACCCTAGTCGTAATACTAGTATGCTAGGATGTGCCGATAAAGATGCATCGCAAACCATTGTCGTTATTCTAAAGTGCAGGTAACGACCGTCGATATCTCCAATATCCTGATACACCTCCCTCTGAGGGTTTAGGAGGCATTCGCTAAGAGGCTGCATTGATGCGGGCAGCCCTCAAAGGGATATGTCGCTGGCTTTCGACGTTTGCTGACGAGGAGCGAATAGATTCCTGTACACCGATCATCTGAGGAGCATGGGTGCGCATGTGAAAGCCAAGGTCTCGAACGACGTGTGCTCGCAACTTGCGAAAAGTTTGTGGGGATGTGTAACCATTCAAGCCCAGAATCGAACGTCAGGGTCGGATGCACGGGATGTCGGACAGGTGGTATTAGAACACAGAAAACCACTCACGTCTGCAGGTATTCCTATACGAGTATTGAGAACATGGATCATCTGCACTTCTGCGCTGTCCGGGTGTGAAGAACCTTGAAAGTCTCCCATTATCAAGGATCTCGAAGTTGTCAGGATTTATGGATTTGACAAGTGAGAACTCACCAAAACTCAACCGCTTCGAAGTCACTGCTGCGTATTTAGATATTGACCGACTTGTATGACAGGGCAAGTGTAAGAGGCTGGACGCCGCGGACCATCTCAGCTTACGATCACGTGCAATGTTCCCTCACGCGTCTGACATCATGTTAATCTTCTACCACTATGTGCTTGCCATGTGCTCAAAAGAATCATAACTTCGTCCTGTCAAACTTGTTCAACTCGTTTTAATCCATCCTCTCAACCAAACTGCATCAACATTACCGCGACCAAGACCAAGGGCATTGACGTGTATCGTGGTAATGTCGACAACGTACATGCGGTTCTCTATGATTGTCGCGCAAGAGATCTAGCTGGATATCAGTCGCCCGGTGACGCAACGATGACAGACCGTCTGAGTCAGGGAGAAGGAACCGGCCCCGGTTACTGTGCCCCGGATCAAAGTTCTAGTCCAGTTTCTCCGACAATGTACCGAAACTTTTTGAGGCTCTCTTGCACATTCGAGGAGTTTGTGTCTTGCCCAGGTCAGCTCCAAGCCCGCGCAGTCTCCTCTACGAATCAACCTCAACTCGCAGCTCCTGCTTTCTCGTCACAACCGTGACTCACAGCTATTCACTTATCAGTCATCCTTACGCATCCCTGAATCTCGAGTATTTAAATATCGAGCCCTCGACGATTTTACTTGGAACTGTAGTCGATTCTGGAAGCTGCGTCAAGTTCAGCCTAAGAGCTGAGCCGAAACATGACGACGCGCAAATCTTTATAAATTTACACGTGTCAATTATGATTCAAGCCCACGTATTGTCGGTGAACTGGAAGGTCCGTCGCTCTATGTTTCTTCCTCGCGATCTTGTATATATATCCCTTCCAGAATCCAGGTACTAGTCTAGGCTGTTAGATTCTTGTATTACTAGATCTTAGTAAGTACTAACTTTTAATTGGTGTTCAAATTTAGTATCCGACCGTCATCACTGACGAACACTTCTTTTCGTCATTACACAGCTTCAAAAACTTTGACTCGGTCAGGATTCACGAGGAGAAATCACACACAATACGATTGGCGGATTCCGAGCCCACACAAGCAACTGCTGCGTCTCAGATACACGATCATCGGAATAGCTTCGAAAACCAATCGCAAACCATTAAAATGTCAAGTCTACCATAGGAATCACAATGAATAACATATTTCCGTAAAAGTTCTAGTCACTGCTGACTTGGCATCACACGCGGATACTACCCTGCCCCAAAAACAATTATTCCGCGTCACGTCCCTGATTCGATGAGATCACTCGGCCAATGAATGTACGTTCTTGGATGCTTTCAAGAGGGTTGTTGTTCGTCGGCTCGCCTTTTTTCGATACTCACGCATGACTAACCCGATAGCTGTCAGTTGCTGTACTACATAACATAGCGAGTCGTTGGTCGCATCTGTGACTTGTCATGCAGGCTCAGCAAACAAAAATCAGGTAACATAATGTGATATTACTTGAGGGCATATCTTCAAAAGACATGCACTGAAATATCTTCCAACCCATTTATTCTGATTACAAGTTACTTGGTACGCCACATAAACTAATCGCAAATACGTCATAACTAGGATACAAAACTTCCGGGTCTGTTGAAATTTCAACAGAGAATAATGCATGATGTGGTCACATTCAACACACGGCTTCAGTACACGCCAGGTATGATCCGATACTTCACTTTTCGGGCCCACGCCTCCCATTCGTCTCCGAAGGCAGAATGCATCATCCTATCTTCTCTCTTCGTTCTTCTTAACGTCGCAAAAATCACCGCTGTACACACAACGGAAGTTCCAGCGACAACCGGTAACACTCCAGGGATCCTCGCAGATATGCCAGAGGTCCTTAACCATGAGTTGGGAGAGCCATGTAGAATGATGATCCCGAGGCACATCATCATCATTCCTGTGTAAGAAGGGTGGCGGACAATTGCGTAAGGTCCTGTGGTGATAAGCTGATGATCTTGACGTATGCTGAGCAGAAACGTGAAATGGCGACCGAGGGTTCGGTAGCATAACCAGCGGATGAATGCACCACTAGTCACGAGACCACAGCCCACAAGAAAGGAAGGAGTGATGGGGACGTCTGTGAGAGTGCTCAGATATTTCGATATCATTCGCAAAACTGATGGCATTTTTGAGGAATCGACGCGGCGAGCTATAATGGCAGCTACCTCTGCCACTGCCCCCGCCCAGTATAGCCCCTGGATATCGACCAAAATCCTTTCAATGAAGATCTCCTAAGAATATGCAGAATTCGGACGAACGGATATGGTTTGCGAGGGATATCTCATTTTACGAAAATAAGATGTGAGAAAAACCAGAGTCTGACCATCATGATATAATTCTTCATCGGATGAAGAATGAGGAGGTGTGATTGCTACCTGGACTGCGATAGCAGATGAGAGAACTAGAGGTATTTTGAGAAGTGACATGTCCAGTTGGATGGACTTGGTGGCAACGAGTTACTGACCTTTAGTAGTGCTACGTAGTGTATTGGTGCCAACCAGAGTTGTGACGTGAGTGCCACGAGGTGCTCCATCGATCTGAACCCGTCATCGGCATCAGTGTTGCAAGACGGGGGCCCCCCATGGGTGCAGTAACGATTTCAATGACCTTCTGGAAATTGTTTGTCAAATGGGATCAGATTCCGGAGGCCCCATCAGGGCTGCCAGGTACTATGTACTGTGGTGGATCTTTGCTTACAGTTTGATCTACAGCGGAGTGTGAAAAATCTATGCGGCATGACGGCAAATCGACATAGCGGGGCCCTGCATGATGTAGTAACAACGTCGATCCGACTCGATGACCTGGAATCCGACTGCGGTCGACGTCTTTGGATAGTACTCTTTTATCGATGTTTAAATTTACTCCTACGTACTCCACGGCCGGCCACCACTGTCACCAAGAGAAATGTAATTGACGCAGGTGCCATACAAGCGGATCCCGGCCGTTCTCGCTCTTATAAGATGGCCCAGTTGTATCGAGACGGAGCACAAGTGCAATCAAGCATTTGACAATCATGGCTCAACTAGCATCTCCTCATGCACTCTACATATCAGAGATATTGTTCGCCATCTCATATCACCTCGCAGATGACAAGAAAACGCTAGCGCGTCTTGCTCGCTGTTGTCATGCATTTTCGGAACCTGCTCTCAGTGTTCTATGGTCTTCGGTGCGATCTTTTTCGCCATTCATTCCCCTTCTGCCGCCGACCGTGAAGTTATTATGGGTGAGCATAAAATCTTTGAAGCAATTACGTTATACTCAAGGATGTGTAGGACCACGGTCAATTTGACGAAGTAACCCTTGCCGAGTTTCAGTGCCCCCCTGAAGAAGAATGGAGGGTATTTGACAGTTACGCCCGCAGAGTACGCAGGCTAAACTCTGGATCGTGTCACCAAACAGTGGCCCGCATACGCTCCGGAACCACTTCATTTCCTTTGCTACGATCTCTGTCTCTTCAGCTCGCCGAGCCCCTTGATGTGCAAGGGCACCTTTTCTCGGACTCGTTACGCTCTCTGAAGATATCTGGACCTGCATATGTGCATTGCAAAGATGACCGTGTCCAAATGGCCATCGCCCAGGTAGCTCGCGATGCGCCATTGGTGGAATATCTTCATATAGAAGATTATACATATTCTGTTGCGCAATCATCACTACCACCTCTCAATTTTGCCCATCTCCGAGCTGTCGAAATATCTGCATTTTTCGATTACAGCCTCCTACAATCTCTTTGCCACATCCTTTCCGAAGCACCTGTGACACAACTCAAAGTCGAGCTCCCACCCCTCCCAAATAAGGAGTGGAATATCTCAACTCCTGTCTTTCCTGCTCTGACATCATTGCAAATTTGTGGCAATCCAGCTTCTGCCGAACGATTCGTATTCCATCTTACCAGCGTGGGTCTTCAGGAGCTTAGCATCCACCACACAAGAGGACCCGCGAGCGCCGCGGATTACCGCCAACTTCTTTCGCTTGTTGCGGATAAATACAGCGACACTCTTCAGCAACTCTCGCTATCACTCAGTCAGTCACCCACCCCGAACTACCCATACGATCTTTCCCAAGCAGTTCTCGATGACTTTTACGCGCTCGCACCGCGTTTCAGTCGACTAGAGACTCTCCACCTCTCGTTGCCGCACAATCGCTACGTTCATCTAGCGCCTGAGCCGACAGTCGAGTCTCCTACATGGCCATCTCTCAAGCTTTTGGACTTTTAAGTGACATAGTGTTTTATACGAAAGGACTAAAAGGACGCTCAGCGCTTTATATTTTAGGAAGTATATATGCCGTGTTAATCATGTGTTAGGTTATTGTTAATGCGAACGTGGAACATGAGAAGACTGCGGCAGTGTGGGAGTCAGCACTGAAATGGTGCGTCAGTGAGACATACGGATTATTGCATGATAAAGTGGATGACATGGCATCTGATGCAAGCAAACCGACTCCGGCTGGCAGGAATCTGGGACGTTTCCCGCATGAAATGTGAGTTGTAAGCAATTTTTCAAGTCAGTTCGCTGATGACCGGGACCATTTATTGTAGCTATTATTAGTGCTTGAGTATTCACGACATCTCGATCAGCACAAGCACATTGTATCCTCTTCCAACGAACATTCTAGATTGCCAGCGCGGGTACAGGTCGTGCTGTTTCAATTTCCCAAAGACGTGGAAATTGCCATGTTGACTAGTAGTATTGCATAAGCGGAGCCTCATCCCGGCCTGCAGGGAATGTTCAATAAGACCAGGGAAGTATTTTCTATTTCATGCTTTGATGTATTTCTAGGGCAAGGTTACTATTGGCAGCGTGGCTTGAAGAGGCCGAATCGGATGAAATCGAAGGCATAAAGCTTGCTCTACTTGCACTCTATCAGCCCAACAAACAGTCTTATTCCGCTTGAAATATGGAAGGCCTCACCAACTACTATCGATGACAACGAGAAAGCACGCAGGAATATCAATTGCGATGGTTTGGGTCTTACACTGTTGGGAGGAATCATGCGAGGATTTCACTACGACAAAAACGCCTGCGCTGGTTTGGACCTTTTCGATGCATTTAGCATCGATTCTAGTGACCGTCTATCTACCCATGCTTTCTAAGCAAAACGTGCTCTTTTCTCGACAAGGTAAGCAATACTAGTATATTCAATTTTTCTGGAACACTCGAAAGGTTTTCAGTGATGTACACAAAATCTTTGCCCTTGGAGGGCAACACAAGCTTCGCATTTGTTCGTCTCACCCCTCCGCCTGACGAGCTCCAATCTGAACTCGTTCCAAACTTGCCGCCGGGATATCACTGTCATCCTGGTATCGATTTTTAGCACTCTTGCTTATACACTAACTGCGGGTGCACGTGTCGTATGTCATCGAGCTCATTCCCCATCTTTTAGTGCCGCACTTCCTGCCGTGTCCGCAGTACTCCACGATATGTACTTTAGGATGTTTTCAAGAGGATTGTTGTTCGTCAGCGTCAGCCCGCCTTGTTTTCACGTCCGACTGACCCAATGACTGTACGACATAACATAGTGAGTCGTTGGTTGCATCTGACTTGGTACGCGTCTCAACAGAAAAACAATCAAGTTACTTGGTACGCCACACACCAATTGCAAATACAACACACAATACATAACTAGGATGCAATAATTTGAAATTTAAACAGAATAATAACGCATGTTACCGTCATATTCAACACACGGCTTCAGTACACGCCAGGTATGATCCGGTACTTCACTTTTCTCGCCCATGCCTCCCATTCGCCTTTGAAGGTAGAATGCATCAGCTCATCTTCCTCCTTCGTTCTTCTGAACAACCCAAAATTCACCACTGTACACACAACGGAAGTTCCAGCGACAACTGGTATCACTCCAGGGATCCTCGCAGATATGCCAGAGGCCCTTAACCATGAATTGGGAGAGCCATGCAGAATGATGATTCCGAAGCAGAGCATCATCATTCCTGTGTAAGAAGGGTGGCGGACGATCGCGTAAGGTCCTGTGGTGATAAGCCGATGATCTTGACGTATGCTGAGCAGAAACGTGAAATGGCGACCGAGGGTTCGGTAGCATAACCAGCGGATGAATGCACCACTAGTCACGAGACCACAGCCCACAAGAAAGGAAGGAGTGATGGGGACGTCTGTGAGAGTGCTCAGAGCTTTCGATATCGTTCGCAAAACTGATGGCATTTTTGAGGAATCGACGTGGCGAGCTATGATGGCAGCTATTTCTGTCAATGCCTCCACCCAGCACAGCCCCTGGATATCGACCAAAATCCGTTCAATCGAAATCTCCTAGAAATACTCAAAGCTCAGACGTACGTATATCATTTGCCGAGCACCTTTCATTTTAAAAAGAAAACGCACGAGATCCAAAGTTTCCTGCAACTTCCTCCTCGGATGCAGAATGAGGAGGTGTGACTGCTACCTGGACTGCAATAGCTGATGAGAGAACTAGAGGTATTTTGAGGAGCGACATGCTTAGTTGAATGGACTTGATGGCAATGGATTAGTGGCCTTTATTAGTACTTTGATGGAGACACTGACGACTGATCGGCCCTCATGCACATGATTGAATGAATGTAGAATAAAAATAGTTATACATAACATACTGGTCACTGGTGACCAGAGCCGTGACGTGGAGTGCCAGGGCGAGGTGCTGGCACGTTGATCTGATCTCCCCGTGCATCGGTGATTCGGTATAGTAACAACTTCAACATTGGCCTAATCGTTTGCGCTTCTTCAAGTTCATGCACGAACGTTTCAATACCAATGCGGTGGACGCACCGTTTTATTGAATAATAAATTCTTGTAAGTGATTACGCAAGTTCAAGTTACACTCAAGAATGTGTACCCTTACTGAATTCCAGTGCCTAGGTGACCCTGAAGAAGAATGGAGGGTATTTGACATTTACGCCAGCCGAGTGCGCAGGTTGAATTCTGGATCGTGTCACAAAACAATGGCCTGCATACGCTCTGGAACCACTTCATTCCCTTTGCTACGATCTCTGTCTCTTCAACTCGCCGAATCCCTTGATGTGCAAGGGCACCTTCTCGGACGCATTGCGCTCTTTGAAGATATCCGGACCTGCGTATCTAAATTGCAAAGATGGTAACCGTGTCCAAATTGCCAGCCGGCCATCGCCCACGAAGCTCGCGATGCGCCATTGGTGGAATATCATCACATCGAATATTATACATATCCTGTTGCGCAATCATCACTGCCACCTCTCCATTTTACCCATCTCCGAGCTGTCGAAATATCTGCACTTTTCAATTACACCCTCCTACAGTCTTAACTTTGTCAAACGCACCGTATGACATGACTCAAACTCGAGAGCTCGAGCTTCCAACACTCCTGCAATAAGTAAGGAATGAAATATTTGAACCTGTTCTGACTCATCATTGCCAACTTGTGAATTTGTAGCAATCCGGCTTCTGCCGAAAATTTCGTATTCCATCTTATCAGCAAGGGTCTTCAGAAGCTTAGTACTTAGTGTTAGCGCACATGACGTGCACGTGAGCGATACGAACACGGACACGGCTTGCGGAGTTGAGAGGTTGGAATACCAACCACGGACGACGTATATATCTTACCAGTCATCATTCCCCCCTTGCCTCAGTCCGTTACATCTGACTGAGGGTAAGTCACTTATTATCATCATGCCGTACCTAGATTACTCACGTATCACTTATAGAGACTGATATTGTCTAGGTACTTGCTAATCCCAGTCTGTTACATCTGACTGAGGAGACTGATACTGTCTAGATTCACAGGTTATGAGCCCTGCTCACTCGTAAAGAAACGAGCGAGCGGAAACCTCCTAGACAGCCTTGCTTCTTAAGAAGAGGCACATCACCACTCCACAGATTCTCGGCACGCATCACGCTTCGATGATTTTCATCTTTCCTGTTTGGGCAAGAAGCACATCCAACACGATGCACGTACCCCCCCTATTTTCTCTCTCTGCGTATATAAGGATGGACCCCTCGTGTTAATGCCCTCATGTCTCTCTCCCTAAACCTATCACCAATAATGTCAAGGAGCTCTGGACTGAAACCCCATACTCATTCAAAAAGCTCTTCAACCAATACACCAACCATGTCTACTACCTCTGTCACTGTTATTACTCTCAGCCAGACTGATCTTGAGAAGATCGAGGTCCTGGACCGTGGCCAGAACAATTGGGGTGTTTGGTCAGATAAGTTACAAAACTACTTACTTCTCAAGCACAGTGGAGGCTACCTACTTGGCGTCATAGCACACCCAGACCCTGTCTCTGATCCCTCCGGCGCAGCCACTTGGGACCTCAATAATATCTGTGTTATAGCCGCCCTCCATACTCGTTCTAGTTCGGAAGAACAAGAATTTCTGCACCCTTTTACCAACACATTCTTAGCTTGGTCTGTGCTGAAGGCACGTCATGAGAAAGTTGGGCCAATTGCCCAGATTCTCCTCATTCAACAGGCTCTTGCCGTATGATACCGCCGCTCTGAACGTCTGTCCTCCACCAGCACTCAAATCAGTGACCTCGTCAGATGCATATATGTGATCGGCCTACCAAAGGAGGATGATTTTCTTACCATCATGATGCTGAATGCCATGACTGACGACCTCCCTCATGTCCGCAACCACATCACTGATGCTCTCTCCACCAGCACCTCCACTACTGTCTATGGGCCCTCCAACATTCGTTCTCATCTCGACGTCGAACAACAACTCATCGACACTGAGAAACTGAAGGGACCTGGAGACCTGGCTATGGTTACATCCAGCAAAGGTAACTGCCACAATGCGCGCCCAGGCAAAATCTGCTCAGAGTGCAATGTTGCCGGCCATTCCTTCTGCTGTACTACGTGTGGGAGCTGGGGCCACCTTGCGAAAGACTGTTTCAGTAAGGGTGGCACCATGGAGGGTAAGCGTGATGAAGTCCTGGCACGTAAACGTGCTGCCCATGACTCCGCAGCCATGAAGGGAGGGTCCTTCACCTCCAAGGTGCCTGCCAAGACTGCCGCTATGGGGAAACCTGGCGGTTTGCGCTATGACCAGGGAGGACATGCTTACCTCCTTGATGGCAGCGGCGAGGCTATATATATGGCCACTACACCTTCAGCCGTGCCTCCCACCACTTCTTCCACCACACAGGAGTTTGTGGGACTCGCATATGATCCTGCTCCCTCCGCATTCATTAATGAACTCCCTGGCTCCAATGACAAAGAGTATAATGCCTTGCTTGCCGCTGTGGATGATCTGCAGACGAGTATCGACTGGCGCACTCACACTAAGACTGTTGTTTTCACTGGACTTACCTACAAAGCTCCCAACTAACGTCAACGCACTGTCATCGACCCATCCATCATTCCATTCTTCCTTGACAGTGGCGCATCCATTCACATTAGTAATGTTGAGTCAGACTTTTATTCCCTGCAGCCAGTTCCCCCTTGTTCCGTTAATGGCGTTGGCGGATCCTCCATCCAGGCCATCGGCATCGGCTCCATCCGTCTGATAATTGCAAAAGGCATTCACTTGACGCTTGACCATGTTTTATTCATTCCTGCTGCAACTGTTTGCCTCATCTCCGTATCTGCCATCTGCGCAGCTCATCGTTGTGTCGTGTCCTTCAATGCTTCCTCTTGCTGGGTCCAGGCTCGCAATGGGACATGCATGCTCACCGGCAACCTCACCTCCCGTCGCTTGTACGCCTTGTCTGGTGGGCACCTATCAGCCGACCATGCTTATCTCGTGCAACGTCAGCCCACCCTGCAATCATGGCACCGTCGCCTTGGCCATGCTCATTATCGCGCAGTCTATGATCTTGCATGCTCAGGCAACACCACTGGTATGCCCATTGATCTCTCTACCCAACCACCCATTTGTGACGCTTGTGTTCTCGGCAAGCAGACCAAGACTAGTGTTCCCAAAGTTCGGGTAGGAGATCGCGCAAGTAGGAGACTGGGTATTGTACACGTCGACTTGATGGAGCATCCAGACACTGTGTCCGCTGCAGGAAATAAGTACATAATGGACATCATTGATGATTTTTCTTCCTACTCCTGGGCTATCCCGCTTGCAGCTAAGAGCGATGCCTTCCCTTCACTCTTGGCTTGGGAACGTGCATGCAAACTCGAGACTGGGCTAATGGTTGGAATTTATCGGTCCGACAATGGTGAACTCAAGTCAGAGTCCATGCGTGAGTGGCTCCTGATGTGTGGTACTCAACACCAATTCACAGCACCAAACACCTCTGCCCAAAATAGATGCGTCGAACACCTCCACAGAACTCTAATGGGTAAAGCGTGTGCTATACGTTCAGCTTGTAATGTACCTCCGAACTGTTGGGATGAATTCGTTTTAACCGCATGTTACCTGTCTAATCGCACACCCATCGTCTCACAGTCCGGTCATACCCCTTTCGAACGCTGGTTCATTCGTAAACTGGACTTATCCCATCTGTGTGAGATTGGCTGCTGCGCATTCGTCCTTGTCCAGAATCGCCACAATCCCAAGATCTACAACAGGTCTGTCGAATGTGTCCTTATTTGTTATTTGCTGGACTCGAAGGCATATCGCTGCTACCACCGTGAATCACATAAGGTGTTCATATCCTACCATGATTCCTTCATTGAATCTCACCATGACAGCGATATTCCCTTACACCTGGGTGTTATCCTAGGAGGCGAGGAAAGTGCTCCTGATAGCCCTACCTCCCCTACTACCATCCCCTCTCAGCGTGCGACTGTCACAGATGCTCACAATGATGACATATCGCCTGTGCCATGTCAATCTGACCCCCCCACACCCCTGTTCCATCTGAACGACTTTGTGCGGCTGGAGGCATCCCATACACTTCAGCCACCCAAAAGGCCGTTCTGAACTCTATGTCAGCAGCTGATTGTCTTCGCTCCCTTAAGCCTATGCCCATGGCCCTACCTGATGAAGCTGCCTTGGCCACCATGGTCTCTGCAGACAAGCTCGCACATCTCGCAGACCTATTTGCTGCCATGCCTGACCACTTTGATAGCGAACACCCAGATGATCCATCAAGCTACGCCGAAGCTATGGCATCCGTTGATGCCCCCCATTGGAAAGTTGCGCTGCAGGAGGAGTTTGAGTCTCTTCGCGATTTGGGTGTCTACAAGCTTGACCCACGCTCATCAGTGCCTACTGGTCAAAAGGTGATGAAGGGACGCCCTGTGTTCAAATTGAAGTGAGACCAACACGGAAAGCCCGCTCGCTTCAAAGCCTGGTATGTCTGCAGAGGTTATTCCACCGTCTGGGGTCAGGATTACACAAAGACCTCAGCACCTACTGCCCGACTAGAGTCTTTCCGCGTCCTCGCTCATCTGGGTGCAGCCCTCGACTGGGAAATCGAGCAGCTTGATATCAAGACTGCATTCCTCTACAGGCTACTCGATCCTGACGAAGTTTGCTACATGGAGCAGCCTGAGGGCTTCGTCGAGGTGGGGCTGGACGACCACATTTGGGAGCTGCGTCGTGGATTATATGGTATGAAGCAGGGGGGCCTCATCTGGAACTGCACTATGAATCAAGCGATGCTTTCCCGGGGATTCACACATCTTAAATGCGAACATTGCATCTACTACAGGTGTACTGATACAGGTATCATACTTGTTGCGATACATGTTGATGACTTCTTCACCGTTGGTAGCTCTACAGCCGCCATATCTGCCTTCAAAGAACAACTGCGCACAAAATGGACGGTATCCGACTTAGGTGCTGTACACTTTTGTCTGGGTATTGCAATTGACCGTGATCGCCCTGCCTGTACTATCAGCCTGTCTCAAGGTGCTCTCATCGACCGCATAGTCAAGCAATTCGGGCTTAAAGATGCGGTACCGGTCTCTGTGCCCATGGAACCCAGCTTACATCTCCCCCGCCATCACCATGCTCCATCCTCTGCAGAAGAATGTGACCTTATGGCATGGACACCCTACCGTTCTCTGGTCAGCTCTCTCATGTACTTGGCCATCGGCACACGACCCAACATCGCTTACACCATCCAGCAACTTTGCAAGTTCCTAGATAGCTATGGACGTGCCCACTGGGAGGCAGCTAAGCGAGTTGTGCGCTACCTTAAGGGGACTCGTGATGTAGCGCTTGTTCTTGGTGGCGACCATACAGCGCGCCTGTTACAAGAACATCTAGACGCTTGGGCCCCTACTATTTTTCTCCTCATCCTCCTCGTATCAGCCCTTGCATCATACCCTTACCCCGACCTCACCCTCATTATCCTCGTCATCCTCGCATTCCCTTTCGCCCTCTACTTGTCACTCCAGCAGAGCCAGTACATCTGGCCGGACCCTTTCGCTGACGAAGCATACCCATGCTCCGTTCCACCACCTGACTGATCCTGTGGACAGTCCCTTTGCCCTTACCGTCCGGACGGTAACCTATGATCTGATGCACGACGCATCCCCTTTGCCCTTTTCCCTTTCTTGATCTCTGACTCGATGCGCAGTCGCACATGCGACTTATACTTAGATCCGCAGCTGCACGATCGTGCCCCTGCGCGTTTCACTTCTTATTTTCGATCTTTGACTCACTTTCTTATCTAGCACGTTCTACCTCGACCGAACGTGCCTTCCTGTTATGGTTATACCCTTTACCGATTGCCTCTCCCGGTAGTATGAGTTATCACCCACTAATATGTCTCCTGTCCTCTATATAAACTCGCTACCATGTACTATATTCCCTAACTTGAATCTACTTGGTTCTTGACCTCCTACTCTCACCAGAGTGATCCTTTCTGCCTCGCCAGCAGTCTATATTCTATCTTCTTATTTGCTCTTCGTAGGATAAGCCTATAGTCTCGATCTTTACTCATCGACTTCGTCGACGAGCAAAGCCCCTGTTAACTAGTCGGACTTCTGTCCTTCTAATTAACAACGATCTTACGATTAACCTTTGGGTGTTGTAAGCCTAGGCCGATTTAGCTTATCGTCTTGCATCCGCATGACATAAGCTACCCGATTTGGACATAGGCAGTTAAACCTTACTTGCCGACGCGTCGCCAAGTAAGACCCCTAACCTTGGGCTAGCCCAAGGACGTCCTCGACCGTTGACGACACAAGCTCTGTTTGAGCGTCGCCAACAGATACCATCCAAGTCGTAACAGCGCCTCCTCGGCTATACTGACAGCGATCTTGCGAGTTGCATTGACACACACTGATCGGTCAGTGGTTACTGTTGTACACTGGGAAGTGGGGTCATCACCTGGAGTGCCCGTCAACAGAAGACCGTCTCTTTGTCCACCTGTGAAGCAGAATACATCGCCACATCAGAAGCAGCATCCGAACTCACATGGCTGTGCTCTCTTCTGGGCAAACTTGAATTTACACAACTATCCGCGACTCCCCTTCTATGCGACAACAATGGCAGTATTGTTCTAACCGAGGATTCATCATTTCATGCGCGCGTGAAACAAATCAACATTAAACATTACTCCATTCGGCAGAAGGTTGAATTGGGCCAGCTAAAACTTCATTACATCAAATCCAAAGACAATCTGGTGGATATATTCACGAAGGCACTTCCTCGAAAAGACTTCAAACGTCTGCGCAACTATCTTGGCCTCCGCTGAATCAGTTGAGGAGGAGTGTCCACCATGTTTGCATCGAGGAGGAGTGTTAGCGCACATGACGTGCATGTGAGCGATACGAACACAGACACAGCTTGCGGAGTTGAGAGGTTGGAATACCAACCATGAACAACATATATATATCTTACCAGTCATCATTCCCCCCTTCCCTCAGTCCGTTACATCTGACTGAGGGTAAGTTGCTTATTATCATCACGCCGTACCTAGATTACTCACGTATCACTTATAGAGACTGATACTGCCTAGGTACTTGCTAATCCCAGTCCATTACATCTGACTGAGGAGACTGATACTGTCTAGATTCACACTTAGTATCCACCACATAAGAGGACCTGCGAGCTACTTAGGCTCGTGACCAGCTTGGTGTATACTACCACGGATAAACGAGTGGTGTAGCCAGGCTGGTCGATCTGGGAGTGGTGTGGCAGGGCGGAGCGAGGAGTTTGAAATTTGATAGGTGCCAGTCGTGCCAAAGGTAGTTCCGATCATATAGCACAAGTTATACTCCAAGTCTGCTCTCGCTCAGATTGTACACTATGTTAAGTTTCAACAATATTAATGAGTTCTGTACGACCTTTATCCCTCGCTGCTCGAGATACAATTGTGAATCTCCCAACGGACTTTATGAGTGCCCTCTCAACGACACAACAACAACAAGTTCTCAAGGCTTTCTCGCGACTCGATCTTCTTACTCGAGGATCACAAGTGACGTCCGAAATCATTCTAGCTCAGATGCCTATTGAGATCAAACGAGAGTAGTTTGGGGGTGACATCTTTTGATGACATGCGAAAAATGTTCTTAGTGGCTTCCATCTCAGCATCAACCTCATCAATGACCATTGCAATAGCAAGGGGTCATAAACTGATGTGAAGTTACTCACTCGCTCGCTCGTCCATGTCCAACACATTCAGAAATTGCACAAGTACTACCTTGCTTCGAAAGAAACCTTCTCTCCAACTTGCCATGGAGGGTCTTTCCAAGATTGAATACAATATGAGGTCCATGACTGTCATCCGCAATCCACGAAGTATTTTGAGGACAGCGAGAATTTTTCCTTCCTCGTCGAGGCTGGAAGGATTGATCATCCAAGCCAAAGGTTCAGGCTGCTGATACATCATTACAGGTGGGTATAATGCATGGAATGGAATCATTTTGATTGTCCTAATCCACGATTAGTGCTCTGGCACGATGTACTGTTGTATTTGAGAGGATACTGTACTTTTCACGGTACGAACGAAAGAGTTTGCGTTGTTGACAAGAAATGTTACCCAAAGCGGCACACCGGCATCTGCCAAATTTCAAACTCCTCGCTTCGCCTGCCAAATCTCTCCCAGATCGACCAGTCTGACTACGTCTAATAATTAACAACACGCGTAGTCCAGACTGGTCACGAGTCTACGAGCTACTGCCAACTCATTCAGTCGCCCCAGAACTACCCCTACGATTTTTACAAGCAGTTCTCAATGCTTTTTACGCGCTCGCACTACGTTTCAATAGACTCAAGGCTCTCCACCTCTCGTTGCTGCACCATCGCTACGTTCGTCTAGCGCCTGAGCTCGCATCTGAGTCTCCTACATGGCCATCTATCAAACTTATTTACCTCCAAGCGACACAGTGTCGTTCTATAAGGAAGAACTAACGGGGCGCCTAGTGCTGCATATTATAGGAAGTAAATATGCCGTGTTGATCAGATGTTAGGTTGCTGTCCCTGCGAATGTGGAGTATGAGAACTGACGCAGTGTGGGAGTATTAATGAGCACTGAGAATGGTGCGTCAGGGGGAAACTGCAATCTATTCTGAGCAATGCTGCTGACCATGCGTGATGCTGATAACTATACGATCCCACAGGCCCACGGCTTACTGCATCTAGGTGACAAATTCTCCTCTTTCCGCGAAGCACGATTTCCACTTGCATTCATTATATTCACAGGGATCCATGGACTAGTACTAATGGGCGAAGGTTACCCTCGAGCAATGAGACACTCGCACTCATGAGAGAGTACCAGTATCAAAAACATCTGGTGGCTCATATTCTCAGTTCCTCCTCACTTCTCACTCTTCATCAACCCCAACTCATCATCCTGGCCAGTACATGATAAGAGTTTGATCGATTAGCCATGGTCTCAAGTTTTCGTGCTCTCTACATTTCCGAGATTCTTTCAGAAATCTCATACCAGCTAGAGGATGATAGAGAGTCCCTTTCACGTCTTGCACGTTGTTGCAAGGCATTCTCAGACCCAGCTTTGGATGTCCTGTGGAGGCGGATGAGCCTTTTCTGTCCCTTCATTCCACTTTTGCCCCCAAGTGTTTTGACACTTTGGGTGCGTATTATTCTTGGGCGGGTTTAGACTCGTATAAATTTGACGCATTTTACAGGTGGAATACCAATTCAGTGCAGAGAGTATCGCGGGCTTTCAATGCCCCCCTATGCACGAGTGGCAAGTGTTTGATGCCTATGCTAGGCGTGTGCGGATTTTATACAGCGGCGCCTCGCACTTCCTCGCAGGTGTGGTCACCATCCGAGCAGACTTCAACGTCTTCCCCTTCCTTCGATCCATGTCGATGCAGCTTCAGGAACCTATACAACCCGGGATCCGGTTGTTTCCTGAAACACTACAATCACTGCAAATTTCGGGCCCCGCGTACATCAACTGTAAAGATTCCTGTATCCAGACTGCTCTTTCGCACGCGGCGCGCGATGCACCCTTCCTGAAACATCTGCATGTCGAGGACTACAGCTACAACAGTAACCGCTTGGACACGCCACCCCTGCATTTCAAACACTTGCGAAGCGTGGAGATATCTGCGTTCATCAGCTCTAATGTCCTCGGATCATTATGTCGTTTGCTTTCGCAATCACCCGTGATCGAGCTCAAGATCGAGCTCCCTCCTACTAGCTGTATATGGGATACACCACAATCCCTCTTCTCACATCTGGAGAGGCTGGAAATACATGGCACCCCTGGGCTTGCGGAAGCCTTCATCACCAATATTTCCAGTCCGCGTGTCCGCTCGCTGACTGTCAGGCACACTCGTGGGCCTGCACGACTGACAGACTGCAGCCGCTTATTCTCTACCATCGTAAACAAGTACGGCTCATCACTGCAGTCGCTATCACTCACAATCAGCCGCTCGCCAGTACTACATAATCACGATGGCGTGGCGCATGATATAATGGATGCGCTGTTCCCTTTGATGCCGAATTTCGAGCACTTGGAGGAACTGCATTTATCATTGCCCAGTGCAACTCAAGTTGACGACTACCCTGCTGTTGAAGTGTCTGGTTGGCCAGCTCTGAGGAGGGTGGAGTTCATGGCCACATGATGATTCACGGGGATGATCACGAGAGGCTTGGAAGCTGGTTTTTCTTCCGATAGTGAAATAACTGTAGAAACGTTCTGATCACATGTGTTTGTATCTGGTATCTGAGTACTTAGGAACTATCGAGATTTGCACTGCAATGATACTCATAGGTCAGGCATAGTGAGGGAAGCAATATACTTTTGGACACTCGTGAGGCATTGACAAGCCTAGGGATGCACATAGTGCGTAGCCATGTAAGATCACCGGTACTTAACCGAGAACAGAACAATCAGATGGAATAGCATATATCTGACCCTTACCAATCACCGTCGAATCCAACGAATCCTACGTAGACAGTCAGTTACAAATAGTCATCAAGTTTGACAACAAGCATACCTGTGAGTAAAAATACAGGGAAGTACCTCTTCTTTTCCAGTTGTGCGCACCAATTCCATGCGCTGGTCAGACGGCCGTCGATACAGCTTCCCGCGTCAAAGAAGTTATCGGCTCCAGAACCATCGAAGCCATGCTGGAAGAAATCGCACAGGATCTCGCGCGCACAATTATCTGTTGAGCCGAAGTCATCCTCAATGTAGGAGCGTAGCGCAGGTTTTTCTGCAAGGTTGGGTATCTGTGAGAGGGTATTGCAGATAGGCAGTAGGATCCGGTAAATCTGGGAATATTTATCTGCACAAAGCATGTCTAAGTTAAGACGCAGCGGCGTTGTGATAGTAAAACGTACCGATGAACATGAGTGCGTTGGGTACATTATGGTCGCCCATATGGATGGCGGACGAGCCAATCCAGGTTCCCACGCTTTGTTGCGCACGGTGTAGGATCGTGTGCATCATGCGGAAGGTTTTGGGAGCTGCTTGCACACGATTTAGCCCTTGGCCGGTATCCCTCAGCCGGTAAGGTACATTCTCCGCAAGTAAGTCCTGTTCAGCGAGTGACCATAACCGGAACATGTCTGTCAAACAGAATTAGCATGACAAATAATAACACCTTCAAAGACTAACCATGCAGGATCTCCCGCCATAAGGTAAGACTCTGTAGGACATATGCGTATTGTTTTGCATGATCGTGACTAAGTCTCGCGCCCTGCTTGCCACTTCGTATTGCCAAGCTGGACTTGTTATCTTTGGGTTGTGTTGGATGGAAGTATTGCTTCAAGTATGCGATCATCTTTTCGCAAGGATCTCGGTTCGTCCGTAAGAAAGCATGGTTATCGCCGATGCTGTATATGCATTGACGGACTTGTTCTTGGGTTAACCCCGAGCGCTGGTATTTTGAAGAAAGCGTCTCAATCGCGCGCTCCTTGTTTTTGATATCCCGCTGGACTTCTCTTCTTGAACGTCCTTCAGAATAGATTTCGTGCGTGGCAACCATGATGAGATCATCTCGTAACATGCCGAGAGCATCGTTTTCTTCAAGAATGGTGTACACAGATACGATGGGTTTGACGCAGGAAAAGCTGAGCATGTCTCGAACGTCTGGGGACTGGCTATCCTAGGGAGAGCAGTGTTTGCATAAAACAAAGTTTGCGAAGCACAGAGAGCTTACTTGTAACAAATAGATTAACTTTCCATACGTCGTGCGCATTTTATCTGGATTCATGATTTTATGTCTCCGACCGAGCTCAAAGATAGTCTGGTAGAAGTCCGCGTTGGACTGAAAATCGCGATCAGTGAACAATTCTTGGCCCTGCTTGTAGTCTGCGGCAAGGACGAGGCCAGATAGAATTGCACATAGCTCGCGAATCTGATACACGATACGCTTTGGTTTCGAAAGTCCAAAGCCCAGCGTGTCGATTTTATCTGTGTACTCGGACACCTGAAGTGCGGCGTCGAGGAGGCGTAGGTACTTGCGTTCGCCGTACGTGAGTCGAAGAGGGATGTATTTCGAACGGTCGACGAACCACTCGCCAACCTTGGATCCGATTGTAGGTTGGGCGCCTAGTATTTGCATAGAGACGGGCGCCTTGGATGCTTCAACCGATATACGGTCGAGTTCTTCATCAGAGTCCGAGTCATCCATATCAACATCGTTTTCTTGCTGAGTACAGAAGTAAGTAGCGGATCCACCAAGGCCAAGCCGAAAAAGTCCGTACCTCCTCTCCATTTTTCTTTGCATCATCCGTCGCACCATTTTGCACTGACCTAGACTTGGCGCCACTTGGGATTGGCTTTGCGATGTGCTTCTTCCTCGACCCCTTCCGGTGCTGCGCTGCAAAGCACACTTCACAGTAATTATCTACGCATGTATCGCACACAACTTGAGCAGGCTGATCTATATAGGCGGTAAGCTCGACCCGATCCGCCATGGTCACTTCCTATCGACCACACACCTTCGCATTCGACGCAGAACCCGTCAGCAGCAGGCCTGACAGCTGATTCTTCGTCCCATCCATGACCGGGCCCAGTAGCATCGAAATCTTTTTCCTTGAGCCGTGGGTGTTCGACTGCTTCGTGGTTCGTTCCGAGGATGTTTTCTAGGGTAAAATTGCCACTCGGTGATCCATCTGGTTGTGAGGTAGGTTCTATAGAGGTTGATGATGTGTTTCCAACCATTATTTCTAGGGATATGACATCTATATGTTCAAGGCTTGTACACGGATGAGAAACGAGGCAACGCGTGTGCGGAGGGAATCTTATGTCGTGACACGTCTGACGTAAGTCGAGTTGTACTCAGCGCCAAGTCCAAAATCAAAAAATGAATTGAGCGAAGGCTCTAATATTATGTAATATTAATCCTCGAACATATGATACAAATGGGTGGTGCAACGGAATAGAAATCATACATGATGAATGAATGAATGAATGTGGGATGATAACAGAGAAACCGTGCTTCACAAGCTCCCAAGTGTACGGCGCCAAATCTTGTTGACAATACCTTTGGTGTGTTCTATCCGTGTCCGCTCCTCATCCGATACTCGCCCATCACAATCCTCTCTTTCCGATGCGCTGTGGTCAACATCAGTTAGATGCGATCGAGGTGGATCGGGGGAGTTGATTGCCGGCATATGAGATGTTTGAAACTCAAGTGGAGGTGGCGGAGAACGCTTGTACTTGTACCGAGAGCGGGAACTGTGACTCGACGATAGACTTCCAACGCTTGGAGGATAATCATGCGGCACCAAAGAAGTTGTAGAGTGGGGTATCGATAAAGGAGAGCCGGTTCCACTGTATTTTCCCTTAGACTCTTCAGATGCAACTATCGTGTCTGCGTCATCTCCAGTTGGCATCCTTGCATAAGTGAGTCGAGGATTCTCTATGTCGCAATGAACGTTGTCCTCATCATCTTCTGGTGCATGAAAGAGTGGTTCTCGATCATGCACGTCAGATGAATTGGTGAGAAGTTCGACTGAGCTTGAAGAAGCTTTAACAATGGAATCAATGAGCCAGAATTGAAGGATGTTCATAATGATAGGGAAGAGACCCATGACGCTACGAAGGCATGATAAGACCATGATAACATGAAGAAAGGACAACACACAATATGATTTGAAAGGCATCACTGTCACCGATAGCAGTCCAACTGAGCAACCAGTCCCCCACTTTCGATATCTCTGGCCACACTGTAAACAACCCTACAACAAGCATCTTCATTGTCGTCAACGCAAAAACGTAGACTGCGGCCTGACGCGCCCAATAGGATATCGACGGTGGGGAACCATACTGCCCCGACTCGTAGCCTTTGAGGCGGAGTCTCTTTGCCAAGAGGTATGTGATACCATGGTGCACGACATATATAATAGCAACACCTATAACAAAGATGAGCATCGAAGGTAAGAGTGAAATGCACCGACACTCACCGAGAGTGGTATCAATGAGGACATTGAGAAAGTAGTAAGTGCAGGCATTGCCAGCATTATGATGTGAACCAAGGTTGGAAATCAGAACATTGACGCCATGTACAAACATCTGTCCAACAATTTGCTTCGATACATCAAAGAGCCTGCGTGATTGTAGAAAACTTCAGTGGTCTCCTACATCGCTATGAGCCACGAGGACGAACCATATTCTCCAAGGTCGTTTCTGCGTTTCACGATGCCTCTTATACACAAGCGAAAGTATTACGAGCACGCCCATGAGCGCCTGTACAACCTGATGGATGATGTGACACTGTGAACCTCTCCGACGAAAGAATTTTCGACCTACCAAGGCAGTCGGACCAAGTAATTGACATGAACGTCGATCCAGCGGAAAATCATTGTCGGTGATACGTGCAACAGAGAACATGGCTAGTTGAAAAGGAAGACTGCGGCTGCTCACACTGGCAGGTGTGCGAACTTCTTGGACGTGCCAGTGATGGTAGCTCAAGTCATCTCCTCTGCTTCTCAGCATGCCCTATTTTGGTAATTTCACACTTCGGCGTTGGTGAGAACAAGAGTTCGGTTTGACCAAGGCCTAATAAGCTTCACATGTATGAAACAAAGTACTGTCCCGCTTGGGGATGTACATATGATGCAATACTATAAATGTGTGGGCATCTTCTTCATGCACCAAGTTACAAACATTGTTTTCTATATAGAATTATTATTTTGGTCCATATAATTCGAAGTCATATCTTGATATAAATTCTACGTGACAAAGTTCAAAGTTGAATGGATTTCCTGTGTTTGCTGTGCATGTATGTTTTTGCGACCAAGAGAGTGGATTATAGTTGTTGATTGCTATTTAGCAAGAACTTTAGAATTCAACAAATACAAACAACCCTTTACCGCTTCCACGACTACGGCACAAGGTTATTGGGACTCAGCTTCGAACAGGACGCTGCACGGATCCACCACAACTATCATATAATGTCCTTCTTCTCCCGATCTTCCCAACCATCGCCTTCCCCGTCATACTCAAGCGTTCCTCGTGAATCTGTTCCAAGACCCGTGACACGTAACCTTCCTCCACAGGCTCCATACAACGACCCTTCCCAGTCTCTTTTCGAGAAAAGATCATACGATCGCAAGCCCCCTCCATCACGCTCTGGTCCGGGAATGAGGTATGTCTACGTCACCCTACATGCTTAATACTCATACTGACTACACTTATAGCTACGCAGTAGTTACTACGCCAAACGAGGGTCTTGCTCTGAGGAACTGCTTGATCGTCTGCCCCTCGGACTTTCCAAATGGTGTGCATGTTTTTGTACGCAAAGTGGATCGTGATTCTGTGCAAAGGGAATATCCCTTTACAACATGGTTAGTACAGCATCTTCTACCCGATTCAAGTCATCTTAAACATGATTTAGCCATGACACTTCTGGGACAATCAGACCGGGTACAGTCGCCATAGGACTTACGCAGCGCCAATGGATAGGTGTATCTCTGTCAGGCGACGACGTCACCATCGACATGATACCTCAAGCACCTCCCTTTCTCCAATCCATCGATATTCAAGTCAGCTTTATACGAAATCGCATTGAAAACCAAGAGCCCTACTCTGCAGATGAGATCTCGCGCAACTTTATCAAGATATTTAATAGTGTCGTCTTCGCCCCGGGCGAGATACTCATTTTCGACTTCAAAGGAGAGAAGCTCAAAATGACTGTTGCATCTATGAGCGTGGTGGAAGTCCTGGATCAGCAAAACAACTCGCGATTCGGAAAACAGCCACATATGGAAATGGGTGTTATGATGGACAGGACCGACATCACCATCATGAAGGCAAGCGATAGTATGATCAAGATTAAATCAAGTGCGAAGAAGTGAGTCTTATAACCTCAGGATTAGGCTCCACTTATCGTTTATGTTCAGGGCTCCGTCGAATGCTATCATCGCACCCAATTTCAAATTTGAAGAGATGGGTATCGGTGGACTTGATGATGAATTCGGCGCTATCTTCCGTCGCGCATTTGCATCACGCGTATTCCCTCCAGCACTCGTCGAGAAGCTTGGAATTCAACATGTAAAGGGTAATTTTTTATCAAAAAAAATTGGCACATTTCTAATGTCATTCGTGAAAGGTATTCTTCTCCATGGTCCACCAGGAACCGGTAAAACCCTCATAGCTCGTCAGATTGGAAAAATGCTGAATGCTCGGGAGCCCAAAATTGTAAATGGCCCTGAGATTCTAAACAAGTACGTTGGTGCATCAGAGGAAAATGTTCGGAAGCTTTTCACAGATGCTGAGAAAGAGGTTAGTCACGGCTTCCGTTCCTGCTTGAGTGATTGTGCTGAAAATGAGCAGTACAAGGAAAAGGGAGACGAGAGTGGCCTTCATATCATCATCTTCGATGAACTAGATGCTATATTCAAACAACGTGGTTCCACGAACAGTGGAACAGGTGTCGGTGACAGTGTGGTCAACCAGCTCTTGTCAAAGGTAATGTACAGTAACCCCTTGCTAGCTAAATTTCTCACTCCTCTCAGATGGATGGTATCGATCAACTGAACAACATACTCATCATTGGCATGACAAACCGTATGGACATGATTGACGAGGCCTTGCTGCGCCCTGGACGTCTTGAAGTACACATGGAAATTTCCCTGCCGGATGAGCACGGACGGTTTCAGATTCTGCGCATTCACACTGCTAAAATGCGGACTAACAACGTGATGGACGCTGATGTTGACCTGGCTGAACTCGCTGCCATGACGAAGAACTATTCTGGTGCAGAGATTGAGGGCTTCGTGAAGAGTGCAACCAGTTTTGCCTTCAATCGCCATGTCAAGGTTGGCACCATGGCGGGCATTTCGGAGGACGTCGACAAGCTTAGAGTCAATCGTAGTGATTTCCTCAAGGCACTTGAGGAGATTAAGCCAGCATATGGTGTGTCGGAAGAGGAACTGACGGATGTTATTGCGAACGGGATCATTCATCATGACTCGATTATTGAAGTATGTTGCACGCGTCTTCAATATCTGTTGTGCTAATGTTTTTCCAGGAAATCCTCGATAAAGGCAAGCTATTCGTCAATCAGGTTGCCAGGTCGACACGAACACCGCGTGTCAGCATACTGCTCCACGGACCCCCTGCGTCAGGAAAAACTGTGTTGGCTGCATCCATTGCTTGGGCTTCCCAGTTCCCATTTATCAAGCTCATTTCACCTGATCGCATGGTTGGATTCTCGGAAGCACAGAAAATACAGTTTATTACCAGAACATTCACCGATAGCTATAAGAGCCCACTGAGTGTCATCGTCGTTGACAACCTTGAACGAATTCTAGGTGGGATCGTCCATGATGCTGTATTCAGTACGCTAACCTTCACCTGTAGACTGGACGTCGCTCGGCAGCAGGTTTTCGAATCCTGTTTTGCAGACTCTTCTTGTCCTTATTGCTCGCAAGCCACCCAAGGTTCGCATTTTACCAGATATATGCAGAGTATGTCTGATTCCATATCCTCAGGACAAACGTTTACTTGTAATAGCAACAACTTCACTGCGCCCCCTTCTGACAGAGCTTGGCCTGTCCGACGTGTTCGACTCCGAGTTGCGCGTGCCTCCAATTTCCAACCTTACGTCACTCGAACGAGTCCTACGCGAAGTGCAGCTCTTCTCTTCAGAAAACGAGCTCCAACAAACAATGAACATGCTTGCAGATGCAGGGTTTGCTGCTGACCTCAACGCGGAGGAGGATGCGGCCTTGCATTTGCAAGTTGGGATCAAAAAGCTTTTGAGCATCGTCGAGATGGCGAGGCAGGAACCCGAGAGGGCTGGAGAGAGACTTGTGAACGCGATTATCAATCTGAATTCGTAGATTTCTATTCGCATACCTGTTGGATCGATATCATTTGTAGAGTACATACAATCTGGACATTATCGTGCATCACTTTCTTTTTAAACCCTTGGCCAGGAAAGGTATAATATGCCTGATATGGCATGCTCCTCAAAGATGGGAGGAACTTCAATGACTTCCAGCTGGCTCTGGCACATCCACGATCACCTGCAGCCGCATCTTAACACTTAGTACTGACAGCGACGACAAAGAGTCATTATCATGTCTTCCGTTGAGATTATCAAGGACCCAGCTCAACCAGCCCGCTTGCCACGATCAGCATCTAATCCTAAACCAAAGGGGATCCTCAAGAACGCAGTGCCACAACCAGGGTCACAACCTCAGTAAGCCTTCGCGCAGATGTTAATCGGTGTCCTTATTAATCTTCTTGAGTGTGCAGTAGCTTGCAATGGGATGAGGAGAATCTTGCGTTGACTGAGATCCAGAAAGACAGTCTTATGAAGATTACGGAACCCAAGACGCCATACGTACGGTATAATGCTGAAACAGACCAAGTAGAGGGCGGTATGGTCTCTTTTATCAATCATTCATTACCTGTGATCTAACATTGTATGTAATAGATATTCCATCGCTTGACCTAGGCGGGCGCATGCCCTCGCCAATGGAATATCTGTCGTCTTCTCCACGATCGGTATCACCGACCGCAGATTCATCAAGGCGATCTTCTCGCAGAACATCGCTTAGCAGCGCTGGGCGCGCTTCATCTGGACGATCAGCTAGTACTGGATCCAGCAGGAGCACGAGCTTCAATCTTCCGAATGAGGCTAAAGCGGAGATAAGAGCTGTGCAAGATAGTCCAGGCGAAGAAGTCGAGACGGAGGAAGAAATGGATGAAGAAGGTGTGTCGTTTTCATGGTTTTTCAATGTGAGAGATGGATTTATTTGCTCGGGCAGCTGCTGCTAAGCATGCGGCTTTCGTGCGAGCCAGAGGACGGCACTATTCCAACGAAGCAGAGGCAATGAAGGTGAATGGCTGTTTTTGTGAAGGATTTGGAATATACTCAACAAATGCTACATAGCGGGCAGCGAAGATGCCGGATGACGAAGAAGAAGAAGTAACTGAGGACTCGGCCTCAGCACCTGCGGACGGTACCGAGGATGTCGCAGTCAACGGCGCTCGTGACAATTGACGCGACAACATAGGACAACCCCAACATATGTATATGCTCTGCGTGGTTTCTGTGGACATGTTCACGAACTTTGAATTCTTCCACAGGTATATATTGTATTTTTTTCTATGAGCCTGGAGTCCATCATGATTCGGTTGTATTAGTTGTACCCTACTACTAACTGGACTCATAACCAGTCTTTACTGCGTCTCTGAAATGTTAAGTGCTTGACGTAGTAAAACTGGATGTTCTTGGAGGCGAAGCGCAGAGTTTGAAATTCGCCTTGTTCACATCGTGCAGAGTACTGAGCAAGCCTCTCGAAATAGCAGATGGCAGTGGTACTGAACATTGAATAGGATGATAAAAATGATACCATCGAATGCATTACGCCCGCTCATGCATCTCGGTATTTGAACACCTGCCGCCTGCTGAACCCTCTGATTCGAATTATCCATCCTAAATTCATTTGAGCTGAAATAATGTGTTCCTTGCGAGTTGTGAGAAAGCTTCAGAAATTTACTTGCTTTATTTCGTCGAAAGGGTGCTCGTAAAGTCCACAGGCAATATAATATTGTCGATAGTTTCTAGAACAGCAGATTTGGGGAAGTTCAAAAATCGGGTCTGGCATTAGTCAACAAATTACTGTCTGTTTACGTAATGTCTGTGCTGGGTTCAGACTTCCCAAAACAGTCATTTCGGCCACGTGGTTATCAAATGATCGACGGAGATGATCGCAAAGTTGTTGCAAATTTTGTTCAAGGGCAGAATAAGATCGACTGCGTCTATCCTCAACAGCATCAGAATGGCCCCAGACGCTGCTGGAAAAGGTATCCTCCTCAAAGTTGACCCTATCGCGGACACTTTCCGCGCTGAAGTCAAGGATGGACTTGCAGCCCTGCCTCGTACACCGACGCTTGTCGGAATCCTGGCAACTAACGCGTCTCCAAGTAGGTTTTATGCCGACTTCACGAGGAAGCAATGTGAGGGGCTTGGAGTGAGGTTTATTCTTAAGGAGGTGGGGAGTGCGCTGAAGCAGAATGAAGGAGAGGAAGCGAGATCAGATGGAGATGGTGTGGAGGAGGCAATCATCGAAGCTAATGAAGATGATAACGTTGATGGTATTATGGTGAGTTTAATGCAAGGTCTCATCGAAAGCTTGTTGAAAATTGCGATTGCGAAGGTGTATTTCCCAATATTTGGGGGCCAGCAGGTGCGCACTAGAAAGCATGGGTTGACACGTCACTTTAAACTGATCTAATGATTTCGTAGGACCATTATTTGCAGCAGGTACAGTGGTTAAATCATGTACCTGTGCGAAATTCTAAGTGTGCTGCTCTAGATTGTCTCTCCACTCAAGGATGTAGAAGGTCTTCATTCGAAATTCCACTATAATCTATACCACAAGTATGTCCGCATTTACCCTAACATTACAAGGCTATCACTAAATCTAAATAATCAGCATCCGTTTCATCACGCCTGCCTCGCTCGCATCTACTATCCCGTCTTCAAAAGTTACCCAGCCAGTAATAGACGATATTCCTCCACCCGGAACAGTGAAATCCATCATTCCTTGCACTCCCCTTGGTGTTGTCAAATGCCTCGAGTATATTGGAGTATATAACAAGATCCTTACATACGGCGATCGCGCTTACGGGAAGACCGTGACCGTAATCAATCGGTAAGGCTCTAGTGCAGTCAGGATCTGAAGAATGTCGCCTAGATTTTCGCACAGGTCAGAAGTTGTAGGACGCCCTCTCGCCGCACTTATTGCGAATGACGGCGCGAGAGTGTTTTCCGTCGATATAGACTCAATCCAGGTAGCTCTCTACCCGCCTTTCTTTGATTTCTACTTCGCTTATGTGTTTTGAAGGAATATACAAAGCGGCCTCGTTCCCCAAACTCGACTTCTGCTAGACAATACCTTCCGCACCATACTTCTCACCTGTGCACGCTCTCACTGGAAGAATGTCTAGCGGTCTCAGACGTTGTCATCAGTGCTGTGCCTAGCGCATCATACAAGGTCAAGACAGAATGGCTAAAAGAAGGATGTGTATGTATCAACGTCGCAGCAGACAAGAATTTCGAAAAGGATGTAAGGGATAAGGTGCATTTCAGCGGATCTCAGATTGGTCCCCACTAGCTGTCCATGTTCGAACGGCCGCTAACATTTTGTATACAGGCATCTATATACATCCCAGCAGTCGGCAAAGTGACTATTTTGATGCTCCTTCGGAATTTGTACGTTCGATCTTGTTTTGTATCTTATTTCCTTCGTCACACCATAGTTTCCCGCACTGGTGTCAACGACCAGCCACAACCGGTGTATTGTTACGCACCTTCATCTTGTGGCCGTGTCTTTCTATTCTTATTTGCAAGGGGATTTCTGTGTTCATTTTCACATTGTGGATGTTCTGCTTCACTGCAATCCATGTGCTTATTATGTTTAGGTTGCGACTTTCACACTACAACGATGTGTCGGCCCCGAGCGGGAGCGAAGACATCATACCCGCCCAATAAGTGGGATTCCCCGTGGAATCATATCGGTGTTGTCGGTAGAAAGGAAATAATTAGAGGCAAGTCCAGCTCAGAAGCAGGAATCTAGCACATGTCTAAATTGTATACGTAAAGATATAACACTAGTACTGAACAATGCGGAGGTGAGCGGTATCACCCAAAATGAGCATCGGTCGGATTTGCGGCGTGTAGTAGAGTCTGGTCCATCCTGGGGAAAGAGGGTGTGACAGGCGTTGAGACGCCTGAGGCATCACCTGTGAGGAAACGAACGCGTTGTCTGTGGAGCTAAAAGAAAGCGCACATATTTGAATATTCAATGTTTTAGACGCAACGGGAATTGAGTGTAGAGTCGGGTGGTTGTGACGTGGACGACATACCTGAGGAAGTTTTGGGATGATGGCAAGTACGATGAGAGCGGTGAGATTGATAGCAAATAGCCAAGGATTGTAATTCGTGTAGTGCGTTGAAGCGAGGAAACTGGTACGCGCCCTGTGAGTAAAATGCGACGTATCACAAGCATAAGACGAACAGTAATATAGGCGCGGTGAATAGCCACTTTTTAGATGGTGTATATTGCGCGCCGTCATCAATTTGCTCCCAGAGACTGAGATCATCATATGCACCGCCGTGAAGCTCGTTGTCGAAGGGAATGCCGGTAACCCAGTGGAACATGAGATACGAGAGCTGCGGAGATACGTGGCATGTCAAATATAGGGCAGAACAGACCAAAGGATGAATGAGGCGTACATTAAGGTATATAAGGTTAACGAGTGTCCAGCTGATCTGTTGTGTCATGCCAGGTATAGTATCGATAATGATTTTTCCCATGAAGACCAAGACGACATGTATGAGCCATGCACCTGAGCAGGCGGTTCAGTGGAATGATCACATTACTTGAGTGTTATTGTGCACCCTTTGCATTGACCCAATTAGCATTGATGTTGAGGTACGCGCTACGGTCCAAAAGTTCCTCTGTACGCCCACCGACTTCTTCAACCTTGACGATACTCCCGCTTCGCCGACGGCCTTTGATATCATCTGGAACTGATACGCTAAGATGTAGTAGCTTTGTTGAGGGGCGCGACATTGATTGCGACGATGCCGAAACGCTGATGCGTTGGTTGGGAACGAAGGAGGACAGCCGCAGCAGTCCTGACCGAATATTAAATTCATGAGCGCTAACCAAATAGTGGCATACAAACCGTAGCACCAGGTCTAGACTCCTTCAGGTCATCGGCGGCCAATTCAGTTACAGCTCTGCGCAACACTACTAAATACTCCTACGATCCTCTTGCACACAAAGGACCCTTCAAAAGCTTTAGTGTGTAAATCATGGGCTATTAGGAGGTAAGTATTGCTGGCACTTATTGTAGCACTAAAAATCCATGCATGTCTCTCTATAGTACGAAAGGGCCTGAGTCATGAATTCAGAACAGCATGACATACCTGCTACAGTATGTGTTCAATTGATGAAATCAGGTCCTTTCATCATACACTTCCCTTGTTCTGACTGAATTTAATTGGCACACCTTAGTACAAGACATTCTTCTGGGAGAATGGCAAATGATGAAAGATAATATGAAGAAATTCCTCTACATCAGGAAAATTCCAAAACTCCAAGAGTCATAGTGGTAGCTATATAGTGCTATATAGTGCTACATAACTGCTGTAGTACTATGTAGGCAACCAGGTTACTATATAGTTCTATGGTAGTCACAGCCTGGACTATATAGAGCTACAGAAGGCGCTGATAGTAACCTGGAGTCACTGTAGCAAAATTCAATTTTGTAGTAAATAGTAAATAAGACTTAAGCAGCCACAGGTTGAACATTGAATGAAAGTCTGTCAAAGTCACAAGTTGATAAAGTTTGGTTGAAATTTCATGTTTGGTAACTTTGGTTTCTAGCACGATTTACAAACAAAATGGCTGAGATATATACTAACATAATAAATAAAGTGGTTTATCATTCACAATTATATTAAGCTACTGTACTGGAATCTATGTAGTGGTAAATAGAATAGTTGTGCTGTATTGATAGTTGAATGGACTGAGTCACTGAGTAAGGCTCCAACCGTTTCTGTTTTTACACTGTTTTAAACTGTTTATCTGTGTACTGTTTATGTGTATTTACTACTACTGGTGCAGACAGTTAGTATCTGTTTGTAAACTGTTTACTTCCTCATGACACGATGCTAAGATGATGACTACTCAAGGAGCCTTGACAGATGTCAGATTATAGATATCATATGTCCCGAGACACATTGGGCTTGCTGTCCGACCGGTGATGATGTAGACCCGAAATGATAATTTTTAACATAAGTGCAAATATGGAAAGATATCCAGGATCTGTGCCTCCTACCATAATCTCGCACTATAAAGTTCGAAGCTTGCGACATGTCTGATTCTGCAAGTGCTGACCTAGCCAAACTCCATGTCCTCATTGAGAACCTTCCAACTCTCTGTAATTCCTTGCCTGCCTCAGTCCCGGAGGCAACAAACATTGATCTAATTCACCATGTCACCACCACTGTGACTGGTGAAAATCCATGGCACACTTTCAACCGTCGTTTTGACATCCTCTTCAGTGAGGATTGCCGGGATGACCAGGGCCGTCTCCATCACCTGAAACAAGGTCCCTTAGGCATGGGGTTAGTTTGCACGTACCTCAACAGCCTAAATCTTGAGGACCCATGCTTCCTGCCAGATTTGATGGTTAAAAAATCACTCGCATAGTTGAAGAAGTCATTTACCTGCTGTCACCACAAGGATTTACTACAACTGCCCATGTTCCTAAGGCTGCCGCACCAACCACTGGACCTGAAATGATAGCGCTTCCAGCAGCTGAAGGAAAAAAGAAGCAGATCCAGAAACCTGGTAAAGAGTCAGTTAATGATGATGCAGACAAAGATTATGTTCCATGGAAGCCCAGAGACGTGTCAGAATCTCCCATCTGCCCATACATTATTGACGAAGATGGACATAAGATTCTTGACGAGTCAGATAATGCATTACCTGGCCATACAGTAAGCTTGCTTGTATCTACAAAAATGTGCCATCTAGATACTGAGATGAATGAAGCAGAAAAAACAGGCTCATGATTGGAAACTCACCATGACCGACTCAGATTCAGATGCAAGTGATGCACTAGTCACAACAGCTGTTACAAGCAAGAAGGTGTCAAAAAGTCGGGCTAAAGGGGGACCAAAGAAGAAAAGAAGCAAGAAGACTCGCACCGCTTTGACCAAACACTCGAAAATGACTGCCAGCGCTGAGATGATAAATGATATTGATGTCTCTTCAGAGGATGAATCTGATGGACAGGGTGCACTGCGGGCAGTTGAAGAAGCAGAAGAGGAGTTGAGGGGTGGAGGTAAATGGGGACCTCAGTCACGTACCCGAATTCACTGGCACACTCCTTGCACAACTCTCAAGCCAGGTACAAGGTTAAAACACTGGTTGTTTAAATGCCAGTACTGTGATGTGTCAGTTGTGATGAACTTCAAATAAAACAATAGGACTTACTAGATGTTCTGTTACAGGACCAGGTCTGTTCCATGGACTGATGGGTGCACTGATTTTGACGATGAGAGACCACAGCCACATCTTGGAAATTTGTCAACACATAGTCGACAAGCCCATGCTGACAAGTGGGAAACACCCCCTACTGACTTTGATATCGACAATGGCACCTCTTCTGCAAATACCTGGAAAGGATCAGCTGCTGTGAGTGCGAGGATCATGGATGACTACCTTGCAAAGGGAACCAGGCCAATGTTTCCAACATGAGAGGGCTTTCTGTGGCACTTTGTTGCCTGGGTCATTGAAGACAACCTTCCTTGGACAACTGGTGAAACTCCAGGTATAATACAACTATTTCGTTTTTTGGAGGTCAGATGGGAGCTACCAAGTGATACTGCTGTCTGGAAAATGGTTGGGAAAATCTTTATTGAGCTTCGTCATAATCTAGTGAAGGAACTTACTGTAAGCAAGACCTCCCATTTACACACGAGCTTGGATGACACATCACTATGTCATAGGCTCTAAAATCGAAGATATCTTACTCAACTGACAACTGGACAATGAAACAAATGGTTTTTACCTTTGCTGGAACAACTGCTTCATTCATTAATGATGAGTGGGAGCTTTGTGAGCGACTTGTTGATTTTTATCACATTGAAGACAAGGAGCACAAAGGCATATATGCTGCAAAGGCATTTGTCAAAACAGCTGCAAGTTGTGGTGGTTTGAATAAAATAAGTTCTTTCCTCTTGTCTCACACCAGTATTCAGCTGTCCTAACTTGACCATAGTACTTCCTAGCTGTCTGCCTTGATAATGCATCATCTTGTGATACATTTGCTCGAGCAACTGGCAAGTTTCTTCAAGAGCGCTATGATATCCAGTTCCATAAAGGAAATGCACAAATACGGTGCATGGCACATGTTGTGAACCTCGTTGTTCAAGCAATGCTAGCCAGTTTAGACGAGGCAAGGGATCCTGAGGAGGAGGACTACTTTGTCCCAAACAAGCACCTTCCATTCCATTACGACCTCAATAACGACACTGATTTACAAGAGCTCGAGCAAGAACAAGACAGCGACAACATCGAAAACAATGACCTTGAGCTTGACAAAGAAGCCGAGAAGCTTTTGAATGAGTTCCACAGATTGAGTCCTGTAAAGAAGGTAAGTACATTGTTTACAATCATTGAATGACACAGATCTTAATCCAAAGTTTTTCATAGCTTCATGAGACTGAAGAAAATAGCTTCATCTCCTCAGCGACGGAAGCAGTTCCGTACGATTTCCAAGCAGGCCTTCGGTAACCTCAAGGCACTTTCAGGAAGCTACTGTGCACCCTAATGGTCATTCACAATGTTGCCACTCGATGGAACTACACTCACGCCATGATTCAAAGAGCACTGATGCTCCATGAGGTGAGTGTTTTGATTTTGACATGTATTAAATTTCATTACTATACTACCAGGCAATTGAGAAATGGGTGTTCAAAAGGAAAGAGCTCCATGATGAGCTTTATTTATCAAGCCAAGAGTGCACTTTTCTCAAGCAGCTTGCTGACATTCTTGAGGTGAGTCTCATCATACTATAGAAAATAGAATGGCACGCCGAGTCAACAAAATCCTGCAGGTATTCACCAAGGTCACATTTTACATGTCATGCTTGAACACGCCAACTTTGCCATGGGCAATCCCAATGTATCACCACATGGAAACAGCTTTGCAGTCAGCCACCTCAGATGATAATGTCAGCAGAAAACTGCAGCAAGCATGTGCAGTTGGGTTGTGGAAGCTTCACCATTACTTCAACATGGCTCGACACAACCATTTCAACACTCTTGCAACTAGTTGAGTAGAGTTCTCCTAATTTTATACATTAACACTGATTTTGCGCTATGCATACTTAGTTTGTCACCCAGTGCTCCGCCTCGAGTGGTTCCGTAACCTTGATGACAATGGATACACTCAAGCAAAAATAATTTTTGAACATTTCATTGCACACTATGAGCTTGCAACACCAGGAGTTGTTCCTACTGCATCTCACATGCCTCCACCATCAGCTTCTCCTGATGAAGATTCTTTTCTTTCGTCACTGATTAATTTGTGTCCTGATGGCAAATCCCACCCAATGTCGACAGTACCTATCCAGTCCGAGTTCAAGCGCTATGCCATCCTTGCACAGGGTGCCAAGAACCCAAATGCCTTGAGCATGCCTCTTATATGGTGGAAGGTACATTTTTTCTTATTTCAGACTTGAAAAACTAGTTGACTATCTACGAAGGACCATTCTCATGAATTTCCGACTCTCTCTCGCATTGCACGTGGTGTCCTTGCCATTCCAGGTGCCATTTCTCCTGTCGAGTGGCTCTTTTCAAAGTCATGCCACTTGTGTACTAACCAGTGGTCTTCCCTTGCTGCAGCCACCATGACACAGTCAATGTGTGCGAAGCTATGGATCCAGCAGGGTCTCTTTGATTTCAACAAGTAAAACATAACTGTGTATAAACTGTTTAAACCATTTACAAACATCTACTTACTGTTTATGTTTATTTACTTGAAAATTGTAAACGTAAACTAAATGGTTGGAGCCTTATCACTGAGTGACGTGACTCGGTAGAATTTTTGCATTTTGTCATGTGACATTGGTATATATTACAATTATTGTTAAGATATATCAATGGTCTTGTGGCTAAGTGGTGTTGATGCTGTACCTATGGCCTCTTATGAGGGCTTCTGTTCAATCTCTGCTGCATGTAAATTATAATGAAGTTATGTAATGTCACATGGCTTGGTAACACTTCTTTTGTCATTTGTGCTCTGAAATCAGGTGCTACCAATGACTACTATAGTTTGTGTAGTTGCCTGTAGTAGCACTCCCAGGAACTATAGTTTGCTACAGTAGTACTTAATAGCACTATAGCACTCCATAGAGGGGACTTGACAATTGAGCTACATGCACTACCCTAACTATATAGTACTATATCTAATTCATCCAGCATTTTATTGATATATCTGGCTTTCCTTTTTAAGCTTTGTGGAATCTCTTCACTTAAGCACAGATTTCTACTAAGCATGAGATAGAACCTGACTTGGAGAAGAAAGCAATTGCACCTTTACATGGTGACACTATTTGATTCAACCTCTTCACCTTTTTGAGTCCTGCTGGAAGCTCCTCGTATTGCCAAGATGTAATGACTGACTTTGCTGCGGTGGATGCATGAAATTCAAATGCTCCCCAGTCAATTCAGCATTTTGCAGCCTGGCTTTGATATCTTATCTGAGTGTTGTTACTAACCTGTTAAAACAGTTATAACTTGACTTTATAACCAGTTAAGAAGTTAGTTAATTGGATCTGCAATTTTGGGAGGGTTAGTAGGTTTAATGTACTATAAGTCAATTGGAGGTCATCACATAGTGCTGCCAGAGTCCAGTCCAGAATTTCAGTTCTGACCTGAACCCTTCTGAACTGGATTGTAGGTTCAGCCCATGTTTGGCATACTGTAAGGACCAACAAATTTTTATGTTTGGCATTTGGTTGATGCCTGAAACTTGCAAACACATCCTGAATGTGTCTTTTAGAACTTGGAGAGCAGATAGATATTTTGCAATACTATAAGTACCACTAATATCCAGTAACTTCCATCCCATTAACAGGTAGTGAAAAGTAAGTAAAGTAATAGGTAGGAAGTCCAAGATATTATATAGTGACTATGTAGAAATTTGGAGTGCTATAGGCAAGAGTAGTAGTGATATTTCAGGTCCAAAATCCTATGTAATAGGACATGTGGTACTGTGGTGAAGATGAGGAATCTAAACTGCGGGAAAAGTTGGTGCTAAGCCAAGAAAACACAGATAGTCCTGGGTAAAAGTAAAATATTGACCCAAGGGCAGCTGTCTGAGTCAAGGGAAACCTCTCTTACAAAAAGAGGGACACCAAACTACTACTAGGATAATAGGACTGTAGAATGTGTTGTAGAGCCTCGTGTCTCCACAGGCACTTCCCTCTGAATTCTCCCACTTTCCTTACAAACTCCAGCTCTAATCCATAGGATACGTCTTGCGCATTAGCGCACTTATATTTTATTTCGCAGGTTTCATGTGTGGCCTCGCGCACTTCGCACATCCACCTTCGCATTGTCCGCGCACCCATCCATCTGTCCATCCCATGTCCTTAGATGTTCATTGGTGCATTTTCCCATCATATTCTCTTTTTGTTTAATTGGTTTCCATTGCTAATACTCGGCTCTGCGCTTTGCGCGTAACTGAGACCCTGTTACATACATCACGTACTATTTTTAGCCTGTTCAGCTTGTCACATTGGACCTGCACGCCTAGCACCGCTTAGCTACATTACTTATACCCCTCTATTACTTATGTACTGGGTCAATTTTCCGCCCACTTTCTCTGTGTCTTTAGATACAAGGAATTTTACTTGTTGTTTGCCAGTGACTATCTAAAGTCGTGCGCTTTGGTCATCCACTTTTGCATTAGCATCAGCCAACCTTAGTTGGGGTGTTAACACTCATCTTGCCTCGTCTCTCCTTTGTCTCTCTCGCTCGCGTGCATTACCTTCGCGTCACATACCTTGCACTTTGCCTTTCGCACTTGCGTGCGTCCACCTTTCGCACATCACATCGTTTCCGCCTCGTGCTTCGCGCATTACTTAGCCTTAGTACTTTATTAGTTGTTTGGTGTCCCTCTTTTTACAAAGAGAGGTTTCCATTTCACTCGCACCCAGGACTATCTGTGTTTGCTTAGCTTAGCACCAACTTTCACCACAGTTTAGATTCCTCATCTTCAGCGTGAAGTGCAAGGCGAGAGCGATGTGAGAAATGATATACGGACATGCAAGTGCAAAAGGTGAAGTGTGAGGTGTGCAATGCAATGGTAGCGCGTGCGAGCAAGAGCGAAGTGCAAACAAGTGATAAAGACTAAAAAGAGACAAAGTAGGACAACTGATATCACCCCAACTAAGGTTGGCTGATGATAAGGTGAAGGGTGGTTAACTAGTGCGTGAGACTCAGATAGTCACTGCAACAACAAGTAAAATTCTCCTGTAGCTAAGTACACAGAGAAAGTGGGCAGAAAATCAAGCCAGAACATAAGTAATAGGAGGGGTATAAGTAAAATAGATAAGTGCTGCTAGGTGCACAGGTCCAATGTGATGAGCTGAACAAGCTAAAAATAGTACACAAAGTAGGTAATAGGGTCTTGGCTGCATGCAAAGCTGAGCATTAGTGATGGAAAACAATTAAACAAAATGGGAATATAGTGAGAAAACACACCAATGGACATCTAAGGACATGGGAAGGATGGGTGGATGGGTGTGTGAATGATGTGAGTGTAGATGCGTGATGTGCGTGAACATGAGAGGGCATGTGCAAAACCTGTGAAATAAAATATGTGTGCTAATGTGCAAGACATATCCTATGGATTAGAGCTGGAGTTTGTAGGTAATGTGGGAGAATTCGGAGGGAAGTGTCTGTGGAGATGTGAGTCTCTGCAGTGGACTATGAGAAAACATGTAATAACACTGTCTATAATGTTTAGCAAGTGAAACTGAATAACTGTGCACCTAGTGGAGATTGTGTTAAGACCAGAAAGGTTCTCTTAGATAGACAAATCTGAAAGGGCTTGGCTTCAGCTCATGCGCTGCACCCCTTTTCCAAGTACGGGCCCTAGATTTTGGGGATATCTGACAGAAATCTGGACACTGGAAGGTACAGTCTGGGTCTTGGAAGATGCATCCAATGGAAATCGAATGGAGCATGTCTACACTAACCAGCCTACTACTATGTGCATGTTTTTTGGAGTAGGTACAGACTGAGAGGGGGAACCACTCAGATGTTATCTGAAGTAGTGAGGGGGGTGCAGAGTGTGTGATTGGACAGAGTCAGATGTGGGGTACAATGAGGGGGATGGCTCAGATGATGTCTGGAGCCAGAGGAGCAATGAGGAGGGATCACTCAGATGATGTCTGAAGCAAAAGCAGGGATAAGGTAGACTACTCAGATGATGTCCAAGATAGAAGGAAGACAATGAGGGGACTAAATCTGGAGTATCCAGAAATAGGGGTAGGATTGGAGGTGGATTAGTCCTTTGGAGACGGAACTCCTAGGGAACTCGGATTTGCAACAAGAGATGAAACTCGAGTCTATGGAGAAGGGAAACTTAGTTATTGAGTAGCAATTCATAATCTAACTGAAGTACTATAGGTATTTTACAGGTTTATAAGTACTTTGGAAAGCGCTGTACTACTAGTAAGCAGAGTGTAGAACTATGTTCTGGTAGTAGTAAAATGTTAGTACAGATGTCACAGAACTTGGGAAATGAGGATGGAGTATGAATAACAGTGTATAAGGGTTGGACAGCATTCTCAGACAGATATACATAGGTAAGCAGAATAAGCGAGATGGAGATATCAGAAATATTGCACATAGCTGATACAAAGTCCTAAGTGCATATGTGAAGCAGATCTGGAGGTTTGGAAACTAATAGACAAGAGTCAGATGATGGGTTCAGAATTGGTCCAATGTGCAGGGAATGTCGGGTTAGGGTGTTGGGTTGGGATCGGACATGCATCAGACTGTCAGAAAGTGCATTGGGTTGGGATTGGACATGTGTCGGACTGTTGGACTCGGATCGGGGTAGTTGGAAGTGCATTGGACAAATACTGTTTGACATCAGTATCAAAATAGCTGGTTATGAGCCCAGCCAGTGCTACAACCATCATTAAAGTGCGCAAAGCGCAAAGCCAAGCATTAGCAATGGAAACAATTAAACAGAATGGAAATATAATGGGAAAATGCACCAATGGACTTCTAAGGACATGGGAAGGATGGGCGGACAGGTGTGCGGACAATGTGAGTATGGATGCATGATGTGTGCGATTGTGAGAGGCCATGCATGAAACCCACAAAATAAAATATGTGTGCTAATGTGCAAGACATATCCTATGGATGAGAGCTGGAGTTTGTAGGTAATGTGGGAATTTGGAGGGAAGTGTCTGTGGAGACACAAGTCTCTACAGTGGCCTCTTGTGTTTGCACACATCGCGCATCCGCCTTCACATCGTCCATATACCTGTCTGCCTGTTCTTCCCATGTCTGTTATGAACTTGGATAGTATCTGTTGGTGACACTCAAACAGAGTGTGTGTCATCAATGGTCAAGGACATTGAAGAAAAATCGACTCAGCTCCAGGTCAAATGATGAATAGAGGGGAGAGACACAAGAAGCTGATATAGTGATCTATTGCGATGCCTAGTCTGCTATGCTTGCAGGGACAAGCATCTTTGATCTAAGGGGAAGCAAGGAAACAAATCCACAGTCATGCAGTGGCTGTGCAAGGCAAGCGACATGCAAGTGAAGCGTGGGAAAGTCGTGCACAATTAGTGTGAAAGTGTGGGAATGCGAAATGCGAAAGTGCGAAAATGCGAAATGTAACAAGCAATAGACAAGGGCTCAATGAATGACAATAAAAAGGACTGCTAATAGGCTCTGACTCTAGCTATAGACATGATGGGGGAACTCCACTAAGGTAAGGTGTGGTGTGGTAAAGAGTGAAAAATGTGGACCTATATATGTATCTCGCTAAGTGAGACTGAGCTGAGCTGATGTAGAGACTCGCATCTCCACAGACACTTCCCTCAAATTCTTCTACTTCCCTCACACACTCCAGCTCTAATCCAAACGATACATCTTGCGCAGTAGCGCAGTATATTTTATTTTGCAGATTCCACACGCAGCCACTCACACCTTGCACGCACTGCATGTCTGCCTTTGCATCGTCCACATACCCATCCATCTGTCCTCCCCATGTCCTTAGATGTTCATTGGTGCATTTTCTCACTATATTCCCATTTTGACTAATTATTTTCATCACTAATTCTTGGTTTAGTACTACACGCACAGCCGAGACCCTATTACCTACTCTGTGTACTATATTTAGATTGTTCGACTCGCTACATCAGATCTGCGCCTCTAGTGGCGCTTAGCTATTTTACATATACCATCCCTCTACTCTATTCTTGGGGTTGATTTTCTGCCCACTTTCTGTGTGTCCTTAGATACTAGGAATTTTACTTGTTGTTTGCAAGTGACTATCTAAAGTCACACACTTCGGTTATCTGCCTTCATCTTAGCATCAGCCAACCTTAGTTGGGGTGTTAACACTCATCTCATCTTGCCTCATCTCTCTTTCATCTCTCTCGCTCGCAAGTCTTTCGCCTTCAGTTGCATGCATTACCTTCGTGTCACATACCTCACCCTTCTGCCTTTCGCACTCGCGTGTCAGCCTTTCACTCATCGCATCATTCTTACCTTGCACTTCATGCATTCCTTAGTCTTAGTACCTTATTAGTTGTTTGGTGTCCCTCTTTTTACAAAGAGAGGTTTCCCTTTACCAGTTAGCTGCCCTTGGGTTGATGTTTTCACTTGCGCCTGGGACTAGCTGTGTTTGCTTAGCTTAGCACCAACTTACATCACAGTTTAGATTCCTCATCTTCACCAAGTAGGAGATAATGTATGTAATAAGGTATGTAAGTCAGGGTCCATGCTCTAATATGGTGCCATATTGAATAAAATGTGAAAATACATACCAGGGAGACCTGCTGGACAATGGATGGATGCTCCTAGATGATAGGGTGATGAAAGCACAAGAAAGCAAGTGATGCAAAGGCATCATGAGTCGTGGGAAAGTGTCACCTGATATGGTAATAGCTGAGGAAAGGCTAGGGAATCGTGCTGTGAGTTGGTGCTATGAACTTGGGTGGTATGAACTGAAGTATAAGGCATTGTAAGCCTGTAATAGTGCAAATCTCTACAATATCCTTGTGCTAGCCCAAGGTCAGGGGTCACATTTGGTGTATCTTTGACAAACATGATTGAACACCTATGCCCAATCCGGTAGCTTACATAAGATGGGGAGCCTAATAATAAGCATATCTATCAAGGCTTGCAACACACAAAGGTTAATCATAAGATCTATGTTAATAGAAGGACAGAAGTCCGACTAATAACAGGGGTTCTGCTCAATGATGAAGTCAATGAGTAGAAATCAAGACTGAGACTTATCTGCAATGAGCAAATAAGAAAGTAGAATATAGACAGCTGGCTAGGCTGAAGGAAATCACTCTGGTGAGAGTAGAAGGTCAAGAACCAAGTAGATTCAAGTTAGAGAACTACATACATGACAGTGAGTTTATATAGAGAGGAATGATATGTATTAGTAAATGGTAACTTGTACTGCCAGAAAAAGGAATAGTCAAAGGGTAATACCAAAAGAGGATGCATGTTTAAGGTGAGTCATAGATGAACCGGAACATGTAACTGTGGAATGAGTCAAAGAACAGAAAAGGGAAGTGAAACAAGCAGGGGTATGATTGTGCAGCTGCAGATCTAAGTATAAGTACAATGTGCAACTGCACACCAAGTCAGAGATCAAGAAAAGAAAATAGGGCAAAGGAATGTGGCATGTATTATGTTATAGGTTATCATCCTGACAGTAAGGGTTGAGGGGACTGTCCTCAGGATTAGTCATCAGGTGAAATGGAGCATGGATATGCTTAGTCTAAGAAAGGGTCTTGCCAGATGTACTGGCTGTGCTGGAGTGAAAGGTAGAGAGCAAAGGGAAATGTGAGGATAACAAGAATAACAAGAGCAAGGTCGGGGTAAAGGGGTGATGCAAGAGCAGAGACAAGTAGAATGAGGAGAAAAATGGTAGGGGTCCAAGTGTCTAGATGTTCTTGTAACAATGTCCTTAGAGATCCATTGGTGCATTTTCTCATATTATTCTCAATTTGTTTAATTGTTTTCCCTCACTAATAGCTTGGCTTTGCATGCAGCTGAGTGCCTATTACTCACTCACATACTATATCTAGCATGTTTGGCTTGCTACATCAGACCTGTGTGCCTAGCAGCACTTAGTTATTTTACTTATACCCTCTCTATACTTTATGTTCTAGGTTGATTTTCTGCCTACTTTTCCTCTGTACTTTGCTACTAAGGGAATTTTACTCATTGTTGCAGTCTCTATCTAAGTCTCACACTCTCATAGTCTGCTCTCTTGTTTATATCATCAGCCAACCTTAGTTGGGGTGATACTTGTTGTCTTTTCTTGTCTCTCCTTAGTCTCGCTCACTCATTCGCATTTCGCCTTCACTCACATGTGCTACCTTCACATCACATATTTCACTCATTGCCTTTTGCTCTTGCATGTTGTTCATTGTACTTTGCCTTTTCACATCATGCTTCATGCTATACAGTATAGGACCGGTCGTTTACCCACCCCCATTCGTTTACCCACCTCAGGTAAAACTTTTGATTTCTTCATTTTTTTGTATCGACATATAGAAAGTAATTAAAGATGAGGCCTCAATGGATATTGCTATAGTATATGATGGATGTGCAATGTCTGCGATGTTGTGCACGACACAAATTAGTTGTTTTTTTCTTCCTCAGTGAATTCTATTCAGAGCAATAGTAGATCAATAAATTTTTTAAAGAAAAAGTGGCTGGTATGATACAAAGTATATACTTCAAACATCATTTTCACCTGCAACAGATTTGTGCAAGTCTCCTTTGTTCCTTCTACAGAGTGGATATATTGAACACAGGTAGTTTTTGAAGGTCTTATCTTAGCGAGTGTGTCACACGTAGCTGTCACGCTTCCCAACTCTAAACTCGTAAAGCAATATATTGTAATTTGTGTCACTAAAAACCATGGTAGGACGAGCAAAATCTCATACAAAAAAAAGGCAGATTCTACGAGAAGAAAATGACATGATCATGGCTCGGGCAGTGGCTATTTACCAGGCCGAGCTTGCAAAGGAACCCACAGAGGACAAAAAAGGACGACGAACAGTTTGCCGTGAAGTCGAAAAGGAATATCTTGTGGAGACAGGAAGAGTCATCAAACTCAATGACAGCACACTTGCGAATCTGGCAAAAGGTGGTAGGAGGCTTAGTGACTTCAATGCAGAGAAAGGTTGGCTCACCCCAGAGGAGACGGAGAGATTAATAGAGTATTCTGTCGAGACGGCACGGCGAGGATTCCCACTCAGCCACAAACGACTCAAGGAGCACGTTAATGAAATTCTTCACACTCGACTTGGTGACAAATTTCCCGAGACAGGTGTCGGCAAAAATTGGACAGATCGTTTCATCGAGAAGCATTCAAATAGGCTGGGCACCTACTATGCTCGAGGTCTTGACAGTGCCCGTGGCCGTGCTGTTAATCCAGCCACCAAAAATGCCTATTTCAGTCTTCTGCATGATACATTGTCAACAGGAGATAATGGCAAACCAATCGAGCCTCATTGCATTTGGGCATTTGACGAGTCTGGTTTCCAAGGAGCTGATGAGGGGAAGGAGCGAGTGATAGGAGCGAGTGGTGTCCATACCGTGTACGAGCAGCAAAGTGGGAGCAAGGAGCTGACAACTGTAATTGTCAGCATCTGTGCAGACGGAGAGACTGCACCACCATGTGTTATCTTCAAGGGAAAGGGTTATCGCACAAACTGGTGTCAAGAAAACCCTGCAAATGCATCGTAAGCACCCTCGGCTGTTAACCCTAATAATTCTACTAAAACGGTCCTTTAGCCTTGGATATTCAGCCAAAGGCTGGACTGATGGCGAGCTCGGAGTACTTTGGATCCAACACTTCGACGAACATACTCGAGACAAAGCCAATGGCTCTGCACGGCTTCTCCTTGTTGATGGTCACTCGTCTCACTACACACGTGCTTTCTTAGAATATGCACGCACACATAACATTCACGTCTTGTGTTACCCATCCCACAGCACCCACATCTACCAGGGTCTCGATGTTGTTGTATTCAGCAGACTGAAAGCTTGCTGGGCAGAGGAGAAAGCCCGGTGGCAAAGGGAACGCGGCGAAGAGCTTTCGAAGCAAATTTTTTTAGCTATCTATGGATATGCTCATAACCGTGCACTCACAACAGAACTCGTCAAAGCTGCATTCGAGAAGACAGGGGTCCACCCGTTCAACCCAAATGTTGTCACGGAGGATGTCATGGCACCAAGTCAGGAGACATCATGCCGTGGTCACCTGCCACTCATCCAAACAACACCAGTTCGCCTCGTGTCCCAATTAATTCGCAGGGCAACAGAAGTGTTATCTAGTCCAGCACGAACCGAGTCAGACTCGAACCAAGATTCATTAATTCCACAACCCTTACCTTTGACTCCGTCACATGCAGAGCAGTTTCCGTGGCATGAATCTGCACGAATGACAGTCAATAGCTTGGCTACAACATCCGCAGCATTCCTGTTTACCTTGAGTCCTGTCTGCTCGACATCTCGAGTACCTATGTACATGCCACAGATAGTATCACCGCTGCAGTACAAACGGTACAGAAAAATTTTAGACTGTCCTCCGAAAACCGAGGCGGAGCACGAGCTACAAGTTGCTTTGCGGGAGTCAGAGCAACGCGAGGAGGAAACCAAGCGCCAAATGATTGGCTTACAGGCAGCATCTGTTCCTACAGATCCAATACTGTGATCGAGTACGTGGTCAGCTTGCAGCACAAGAAGAAAAAGCAGGGAGGAAGAAGGGTACAAGGCTCGTTGGTGATGGCTTACCTCGTATGCTCACTGGTGATGTCTTCGTGGCACAGGTTATCACACACGAGAATGCGATGGAGGCAGAAGCTAGAGATAAAGAGATGAGGGCCAAGAGAAGGGCAGAACGTTCTGAAGAACTCGCACATTGGAAGAGAGAGGAGATAGAGCGGAAAGAACGAAACAAAGCAACAAGAGCAAATTTCGAGGCACAGAAGGTTGAGTGGGAGGCAGAGCGAGATTTGGCGAAGTTGGAGAAACGGAGGCCACGGTGGAACAAACCAAAGATGGGAGAGATTGAGAAACCTGTGTCGAGGCCAGAGCGAGTTCAGCCAGAGGTTTATGACAGCGAGCAAGAAGATGATGATGGAGAAGAAGAAGGTTGACGAGCGTGTGTTTTTGTTTAATCTCGCATCAATGTCGCATCATCTTATCATTGCCTTATTGAATTACAAATTTACGGCGCGCTGTGTGATGTGACATCAAAAATTACTAAAACGAGGTGGGTAAAGGACTTGTGAAGTCAAAGATAAGGTTGTTTTCAATGATTTTGCTGCGACACACCAGCATCGTCACCGATAGCTCTAAATTTCGAATCACAGTATTTACATGTATGTTAGAGAATTACTGTCTATTACAATTTTCCAAAAAGAAAGCCAGTGTAAAGTGACATGCATTTCAATTTGTTGTGGGTAAACGACCGGTCCTATACTGTAGTAGTCCCATTATCCTGTTAATGATTTGGTGTCCCTCTTTTTATTAAGAGAGGTTTCCTTTACTCAGATAGGTGCCCTTGGGTCGACACTTTACTCGCACCCAGGACTCTCTGTGTTTCCTTGGTTTAGCACCATCTTTCCTTACACTCTAGATTCCTCTTCTTCAGCATCAATGGTGGTGATGGGGGTGTAGAGACTTGCATCTCCACAGACACTTCCCTCTGAATTCTCCCACTTTCCATACAAACACCAACTCTAATCCTTAGGATACGTCTAGCGCATTAGCACACTTGTTTTATTTTTGCAGATATCGCGTGCGGTGTAACAATGGTCGTGGCACTGGGCTCGGAACCAGCTATTTTGATACTGATGTCAAACAGTATTTGTCCAACGCACTTCCGACTACCCTGACCCGAGTCCGACAGTCCGATCCCGACCCGATGCACTTTCCGACAGTCCGACGCATGTTCGATCCTGACCCGACATTCCCACGCATTGGACCAGTCCTCCCTATGTCCTGTCCAGTCACATCTATCCCCACTAGGTGCGCATTTACTCCTTTTGACTTGCTAAGCATTGTATACAGTGTTATTACATGTTTTCTCATGGTCTGCAGTACCACATGTCCTATTACATAGGATTTCGGACCCGAAATATCGCTACTACTCTCGCCTATAGCAGTCCGAATTTCTACATAGTCACTATTTAATATCTAGTACTTCCTACCTATTGCATTACTTACTTTTCCCTACTCAGTAGTAGGATGGAAGTCATTGGATATTAGTAGTACTTTATTGTATTGCAAAATATCTATTTGCTCTTTTTCTCCAAAACACTCTGACACATCCGACACTCATTTGACCAACAATCCGACACACTTCCGACACATTCCTTCACCATCCAACACATTCCCGACAGTCTGACGCATAGTCCAATGCCCGACCCAACTCCGATATTTTTGGACTTGACAGTTTCCCTTCGGACGAGTAGTTCCTAGCTTTGGATTATCTTCCTATTATTGATAACTAACTATCTAAACTAATACCAAACAGCTACCCCTATAGGATCAAACGCACTTGCTCTGCAAGTATAGCAGACTAGGTTGTGCTAATATCTACCTAAATATTTGTTGCCTAGGTAGTATGATTTCTGCTGAGCCCAGCAGGAATCAGCTTTCTACAGCGGTCTTACACACTTCACGCATCCGCACTCGCATTGTCTGCACACTTGTCCATCCATCCATCCCATGTCCTTAGAAGTTCATTGGTGTGTTTTCCCATCATATTCCCTTTTTGTCTAATTGTTTTCCATTGCTAATACTCGGCTCTGCGCTTTGTGTGTAACTGAGACCCTGTTACATACTTTGCATACTATTCATAGCCTGTTTGGCTCGTTACATCAGACCTGCGCACCTAGCGCTGCTTAGCTATTTACTTATACCCCTCTATTACTTATGTACTGGGTCGATTTTCTGCCCACTTTCTCTGTGTCCTTAGATACAAGGGAATTTTACTTGTTGTTTGCAGTGACTATCTAAGTTGTGCATATTAGTTGTCCGCTTTTGCCTTAGCATCAGCCAACCTTAGTTGGGGTGTTACTAACAGTCGTCTTGCCTCATCTCTCCTTTGTCTTTCTTGCTTGTTTGCCTTTTGCCTTTGCTCACACACACTACCTTCACATCGCACACCTCGCCCTTCACCCTTCGCACTCATGCATCATTGTGCACGTCTGCATTTCGTCAATTGTATCACACTCGCCTCGCGCTTCACATGTCTATTAGTTTCATTACCCTATTATTAGTTTGGTGTCCCTCTTTTTATAAGAGAGGTTTCCCTTTACCCAGTTAACTGCCCTTGGGTTGACATTTTCACTCGCACCCGGGTCTAGTTGTGTTTGCTTAGCTTAGTACCAACTTTAACCACAGTTTAGATTCCTCATCTTCAGCGGTAGAGGTATATCAAGGATCTGCATGGTAGTGACAGTGGTAGAGGTATATTAAGGATCCATGGGTCAAGTAGCAATAGAGGTCAGTCCTTTTTCAGTTCAGATAAAAACAGGAGGTTCAGACATTAACAAGCGGAAGTGAATAATGAAGGGAGAGTTCTAGTCTGAGCCAGGGCTCATAACCTGTGATGAATTAAGAGGCTTGGACCTAGAAACAAGGAAGAGAAAACTCAGTCTTAGTTGGAAAGACTATACACTGACTATGAGAAGTTCATACCTAGAAATGAGAAAGAGAAAACTATGTATCGTTAGTACTAAGTATGCAGAGGAGTCATAGTAAGTAGCTCAACTCAGTCTTAGTTGGAAAGACTGAGGGAAGGGAATATCATGGACACTGAATATTCAAGTATTGTTGAAACAGAGAACAAAATGTGAGCATGGATGGAATGTGTATGATAAGGTGAATGTGTATGTATAATAGATACATACAAAGAATGTTAGAAGTACGAGACAATGAGTAGCAAAATAGATTCCTGTCAACAGTCAATATAAATTCCATACACAAAGTAGATTATTACATCTAAGTGAGTATATAAGCTACCTACCTCATGTACTACATGTGGCAGACACAAGTACATTCGCTTGAATATTCCAACAGTCCTCCTCAAGCGAAGCAGTATGAGTAAGTGAGCTACCAAGAAAAATCTCCATCAGCAACTGCGGCAGTTTCCTTTTGGGTTGTGGCATCAGTCTTCTTTGAGCAGTATGACTGATAATGTCCCTTGTCTCCACAGTGGAAGCAGGTAATATTTTTGAGTAGGACTCAATAATGCTGAACATGGGAAAGTAGGGCAGTATCGCTGGGTTTTGAGTTGGTGCCATGAGATTGGTGAGCTTCTTCGTTCATGATGTGTGTGATAACATGCTCAAGTGTGATCTCAGCAGGTGGGGTGGCATCAAGGGTAACAATGAAGTTCTTGTAAGATGGGGAAAGGCTGAGGGTGAGGATGAGTATGAGGTCCTCATCAAAGATAGTGACATTAATTTCCTCCAGTTAGAATGCAGTGCGGCACACTTGTGCAATCCATGCCTGTATGCTTATGTCATCGGCTTTCTTGAGTGTGAGAAACTTTTGGCAAGTGGCAGATCCACAAGTCCAGTGAACAGTTTCAAGGTTCTTCCATATGACAGTGGGGTTACAATCTCGAACATGGGAGAGTTGAGAAGTTTCAACCTGAAGTACAATCTCTGTGTGAGCTTCAGCTTGTTTCTTCAAAAAGTCTTTCACAGCCTTGGAGTTTGGACTGCCGAGTGGCATTGTCTTTGAGCCATCAACATAATCCATCAAACCTCTCCGAATCAGCACAGCTTCTATCAACATTCTCCACTCATAATAGTTATTTTCACCGAGTTTTGATAAGTTTTCAGATGGCATGGCGGCAAGCAAATGACTGGGAACAAATGTGGGACATGCGAATGGCACTGAAACAAGTGACAACAATGATGTCTTAATAACCAAGGGTCTTATATAAAGTTGTGTAAATGTAATGACACCACAATTACACTTTGGATAAGACTGCTTGCCAGTTCCTCGATTAACATGGTCTACGACTTTTCCTATTTCGTGGTAGATAACGTGTGAGTTCTTGGGAGGCTCGCTAAACTAATCTTTGTCAAGATCAACCTAGCCGGAGCTTTACTTTTCTTTATTGAAACTCAAATCTCTTGTCTAGGAATAAGCTTCTAGACATGTAATTCGGTTTCTGGAATATATTTGCCTAGGAAATCTCCTTCTAGGCTCTGGACTTGGATACTGGAACTAGTGAGACGTGGTCTCAAATATACGAAATATGACCAAGATCGCTTGGTCTATGGACACCTGACTGTGAGACAATGGTCTCAAATATACGATATATGTTCAAGATCGCTTGAACAAAGGGGACTATAACTTGACCAAGATCAGCTTGGTCTATGGGACTACTAGTGAGACGTGGTCTCAACAATATGATAGATGACTAAGATCGCTTAGTCAAAGGGCACAGAGCAATGAGACAAAGGGGTCTCAAAGACTATATATATGACCAAGAACACTTGGTCTATGGCACTAATAAGTTTCTAAGGTAAGAAACTTATAATCTCAAGGGAATTCTTTTCCCTGCACTTGTCTCACTTCAAAGGGACTAACTTTGCAAGTGAAATATCTGAGAGGCAGATTGCTACAAATGGGAGATCATATTTTTTGGGGGGGAGAATGGGCTCTCCTTATATACATTTTGTGTGGGAAAGTAACCTAGGTTCACAAACAATAAAAAATAAGGAGGACCAATCAAAATATTGGGTCAAACCCAATAAAAGAATAAAATACAAGTGAAAGATGGAGCTATGACATCATTGTGGAGCAGAACATTCTGGAATGTGGAGTAATGACATCATAATGACATCAAGAGTGACATCATTGTGGAGCAAAAGATTCCAGAACCTTCCATGAGTGAGTCAGAGTGAGTCATTGTGGAGCAGAATATTCTAGAAGGAAATGACATCATGAATGATGTCATTGTAGAGTAGAATAATCTAGAGCTTGATGACATAATATCTTTCAACAGAATACCTGCAGGAGTATCTGTGAAGTCTTATGACATCATACCCTATGGGTACAATTTTATGAAGTGTCAGGTGAGTCAAAGCATCCTAATGAAAAAGTAAAGTAAAGAAACACTAGAGAAAAGTAGGTAGCAAAAATAAGACAGTTGGCAGGAATTGAAACACAGTCAAAAAAATAATGCAGTTGGCAGGAATTGAAACACAGTCAAAATAATACAGTTGGCAGGAATTAAAACACGGTCTTTTTGGATAGGTTTTTTTATAGGCTTTGTACTTTTCTCTATGGTTTTCTCTAGCCAAAGTGAATAAGCCAAAGGCAAGGCTATACCTTAACCTTCATTTCCCTTCTCATATCAACTAGGTCTAAATGTGATTCCCATCTCACATTAGACTTTTTCCGTCAAAACATATTCAGATCATGAAACTTGGGGAAAACTGGAAATATGAACCATAGTTTGAAACCAAGGTATGGGTTGACTAGTCTGAGGACTAAGCTAACAGACTTTATCTTTTGAGGGTCACCTAGTATTCATGTTCATGCATGATTCCCACATCATGCAGGACAACGAGAACGAGTGATAATGATCAATTGAGGGTGAAAACAGCAAAAATAAGCGGAGTGAGCAACACATGTTACATGCAGTGTGTGTGTGAGAAAACAGGTGGTACGCAGAAAGTGACAATGAACAGATCAACTTCTGGTAAGGTGGATCACTTTGTGTATGGAATTTGTGTTAGAAGTACAAGACAATGAGTAGCGAAATAGATTCCTGTCAACAGTCGATATAAATTCCATACACAAAGTAGATTATTGCATATAAGTGAGTATATAAGCTACCTACCTCATGTACTACATGCAGCAGACACGAGCATGTTCGCTTGAATATTCCAACAAAGAATTTATTGTGATAAGTGGTGTGTGCAAGTATAATGAGTGACAGAGTGTTTCAGTGAAGGAATGGTGATATTTTGCAAATCAATAAAGAACTACAAAAATATTCTGAAAGTGACCCAGTTACAGGTGGATGAGTAAGTAAGAGTCACTACAGAGTATTTATCTATCTATATAGAAAGTCTAAAGGTTAATAGGCAAAATTAGTAGCAATATAGGTGTGCACTTAGTCATTTCTATGTTGCTAATATTGTAGAAAGTGTTATTACATGTTTTCCCATAGTCTTCAGTACCTCATGTCTTATTACGTAGGATGTCAGATCTGAAAATCACTGCTACTACTTTTGCCTATTGACCTTAAACCAAAGACAAGGCAATACCTTAATTTTCTTTTCTTTTCTCACATCAACTAGGTCTTTGTGTGATTCCTATCTCTGATAAGACATTTTAAAAAACATGTTTGAATTATAAATCTTAAGGGAACAACTAAAATATGAACCATAGTTTGAAATCAAGGTAGATTCTCACATCATGCAGGACAATACTTACCTAACTGTATAGTATCACTACTGCAAGCTATGATGCAAGTCTTGAATATAGGGTGCATGTTATTATTATGTAATTCTTCATCTTTATTTCATGGTGACCAACAACTTACCTATTGAACTATAGCTTATTATTTTCTCTTTCACCAAAGCTTTCAAATTTTCCTTAAATAACCTTACTACATTCTATCAAGCATACATCTGTTTTCATCATGCAGTAGTTGATTCCCTATATGAGTCTATCATAGTCAACAACTTAGATGTCTCCGCCATGCTTACAGAGCATCCTGATTTTATAAAGAAAGTCAAATATTTTATATTTATGTATTCAACAATTATGGTCTATAATGGTCTCAAGATACATTTGGATAATCTTACATTGGCTTTTAAAAATATGACTTACCTCTTCACACTTAAACTTATTCTCATTCTCAAAAGTGTTGCTTATCTATCTTTTAATACTGTAATGTCAAGCTCCATATTGTAGTGATACTCATAGTACTGAGTTTATATGAGCCTATTTTCACACTCACATTAAACAGCACTTTGTTCAATGCACTTCCACACATGTCTAATACATTTTCACATATGTTTAAGCCAATACATAGGTAATATAGTGAAATATGCAGTAAACATGGGCTTTAAAGTACTTTAAGTCACATTTATATTTTGTATTTTCTAACTAATTTTAGAAACTGGTTTTGGAGCCAAGAATGTCTTTCCAAGGTTTTTCAACTATGTCTGGAGTTGGAGGTGAAATTAGGTTTATAAAACAGTCCTTCACCTCCTTCTACTCTGCTGCCATAAGCTGTAGCTAGATTTGTCTACCATCTTTATTGTATGTTTTCTTACTAAACAATATGTTAACATCAAAGTCTTTTCCTAAGTGTCTATCTTTAAAACTATGTTCTTGTTCTTTGTAAAAATAGTTTCTAGTACAGTATCTATTATAGAGTTATCAGAAGTGCCTAAAGAGACACCTATGTTATGTATTCAATCTATTGCTCCTAAATCCTTTGATGTCATATCACATGATCTATTTGAAATGTTCCAGAGTCTTACTGTAGTTTCAATACATATTATAACATCATACAATACCTTTAATTATTCTGATTGGCTAGTATTTACGACTCAGATTCAGTCTTAGTTTTAATATAGAGATAACTCATTTGTAGTCAGTAGTTCTTTAGCTTACTGCTTGCAATCTAAGACATTATTTCTTCTTCCTCTATTATTTTGATATTTTAAGTTTGAGTCCTAGTCTCTGTCTAGCATTTATTTGTTATTAGATTATGACATAAAGCTTGTCAAGGACTTTAATCTTTGAATCAAATATGCTGAAGACTATTGCAATATACACAACAATGCCACTATCATACATTATGTGTTAAAATCTTACCTTAACCATGGCCTTAAAAACACTGATACATACTTGCAATAAAATGTTATAGTGAATGATACTGTAAAATATGTCAAGCCCTTTTGTAAGAGCACTTTGACTGGCTCTTTATTTTTTGTTGAATATCACATACACTATAGTTAGAGCTGAGATACAGTTTTCAAAACTTTCCATATCAAATTTGTGACAAAGTGCTATATTGCCATATATTCAACACACTTATACTACATTTTAAGATCCAGAACTATAAAAACTGCGGAACACATATTTATGTCTCTTAGGATAATCAATGCTAGTCTACTATTAATCTCTGATCTATATATGAGTCATTGTCACCTTCAGAAGCATCTGCCCTAGTTTATATTTTAACAAAAATATTTGAAATACTATTAATCAAATTATGAAGTTAAGGATCAATTGTTTTAGTATTACACTGATAATGACTATAGAATGATGCTAGAATATGTAAATAATCTAGAAGAGATAGAGTTGATTAAATACATCTTATTAGAAAGAAGGACTCTTATTAACTTTCAATCACTTAGGACTATTGAAGATGAATGAGATACAATTGAGTTTTAAATATTTTCTTCTATAACAAATAACAAGCTTTACAACATGCCAGCAATACATTTTATTTTCCTTAGCTTTACAAGCTAGTCCAACATACTATACCAATCATATTATTAATTTTCACAATATTACTCTTATTGACTTTTGATCATTCATCACTTCATGTCACAATTAAATAAATACTAGGGTAGAGACTAGGACTCAAACTAAGAATATTACAATAAGAGAAATAAGCAAGGGCATCTGTAACAATAAGCAATAAGCTAACAAACAAGCAGTTTGAACTAAAGAACTACTGACTACAAATAAGCTACCTATATACATATACTGAAACTGAAACTAAGTTCTAACTACTAGTCAATCAGAATAATTAAAAGTATTATATAATGTTATAAATGACTATGATGTCATGACATATATCACAGCTGCAGTAAGTCTCTGGAATATTCCAAATGAATCATATGGTATGACATCAAAGGATTCAGGAGTAATAAATAAATTATATAATATGGACATCTCTTTAGACACTTCTGGTAACTCTATAATAGATATTATACTAGGAGTTTCTTCTATAGAGAATATAGTTTTTTTAGATAGATACTGAGTTTTAGCACTTAAAGGACTTCATATTTAAGAAAAATAATAGTTTATATTTGGCACTCATGATACTTCAGAATGATATTGTCTCACAGCTGCAGCATAATTTTAAGTTCAGATTCAACTGTAAAAGATTGTAGAATATCAATGGGCTATATCATGATGGTTGATATTGAGGTTATGGCCAGATATTATTAGAAAGCTATCAACTACTTCTGGTAATTACTCTATTTCTATGACATCATCAAGCCTGCCTCTAATATATTGTTAGCTGAAACATTGGTGTAAATATAAACAAAAAGATAATGTAAAATCCAAGGACATCACATCTTAAGTAGTTTTACAGCTTTGATGAGTTGGATAAATGTGTCAGTAATGCAAAAATTAATAGTCTAAAGGTGTGAAAATGTTCAAGAAGCTGTCATTAATGATAGTGGGCCTAGATTTGATATGAGGCTACCTGTCATATTAAGTGTGTCTGTAGTTATAGAGGCAGATTCTAATGTTAAAAACTATCACGGATGACAAATTGTTAGGACATGATATTGATCTATGATACTTTATTATAATGTTAGTTTACAACCAGATACATCTGGCTTTAGATAAGCAGTTTCCAATTGCAAAAACTGCCATCAATGACAGTGTGTCCAGGCATAATAATAAGGTATCATGTCATATCAAGTATGTCTGCCATTATAAGGGTAGATTCAGATGTTAAAAGCCACCACTAAAATTGAACTCTGCTGGATAATTCTCAATGGGGTTGTTCTGTAATAAAAAGGCCTTGCCATCCAAGTGTCATAGATGTTGTAACCTGAATTAAATGTGAGGACAAATTTAACATAAGTGCACCATTGAGGTATATAGAATAAATGAGTATGGTGCATGAATTTAAAATGTATTATTCAGGTACATAAAAAAGAGGATGACACATTAGCTTCATGCATCATTATTGTGGTAGATATAGATATAAAGAACTGTAAATGTCATTACAGTATTTGAATCTCTCCTTTTGATGCCTAGTTTTGTTAAAAACCAGTGAAATCAAAGTTGTTCTTATGATAGACAGATTCAAAAGGGCTTGATTTTAGCTCATGTATTGCATCTTTTTATCAGATATGGCAAAGCTGTAGATATACACCAACACAAATATTGACTTCCTGGACTCCTCAACGATACAGCTTGGCCTGTTTATGAAAAGTTTCATGAATGTGACAAAGAAGAAGTATGTTACTAAGGACCTACCAAGTGAAGAAGCTGCACAAGACAATTATAAAGCAAACAAGGTCGCAAAAGGTGGCTTGACCGATGAAGGTTCAATAATTCAGATGGATAGTCTGAACAATGTTGGGTCTTGCTGCCTAACTACGTTGTCTAGAAAGACAGTGTTCAACCCTAAAGGGTTTCTGTACTAAGCTTAAAACTCAGAGAGAGAGAAAACTACGAAGACTCAAACTCAAGGTGCTGGAAACTGGTGAAGAGGTAACTTGATTATGTAAGCTACAAAATAGCAAATATAAGGTAAAGACAGTATCTACAAGCCTAGTCAGAAATGAGTCTCTACATCTTATGGGTACTTTAGATCATGACTGTCCCCAGTCATCTACACATGCAAGCCAAAACTAACTAAAAGACAAAAAAAAACCTGGGGGCCCCTAACACCTGTTTCACTGACCAAGTGTCAAAGTGAACCGCTTTGGTGAGTAAGGGTCAGGCAAAACAACAACCAATGATCCCAGCACCTTGTTTCCCTAACATCTTGTGTGTCAAGTGAACCACTGTGGTACTGAGAAACTGCTAAAACTGAAAAACAACAAAAAACACAATGATGGCTGCAAGGAGGACAACAGGGAGTAGATGGATGGAAAGAGGCAAATGAGGGCTTCGAAATGAGTATAGGGTTGACTAGGTTTGGTGAAGAACTGAGGGTGATATGAAGGAAGTGATGAAAACAAGTAAAAATAACAAAAACAGCGAGTAGTGAGGGTGTATACAGGTATATCAAAAATAAGATCAGACAGATGGAAAGAGTGGACAAATGCAGTCAGAACGTGCCTAAGGTGATAGGGCGCGCAATCACAGGGCAATGTGCTATAAAGAAAACACGAAAACTGGGGCAAAAAACTGGGGGAAACACAAAAATGAGAATAGCAAGCAAATGGCTGTGCATGCGAAGGCGCAAATACACTGTGAATGAAAGCCATGAACGAGGGCTTCAAAACGGATATAGGGTCAATGGGTGTGCAAGGCAAAATGGGCTGGTGAGATGCGAAAATGTGTGGAGGTGCTGTGAGGGAGGAGGAGGGGTATGGTGTAGGACAACAAGGGCTAGTCCTATCAAAAGGCAAATTGGAGCAATGGATAGAGCCACTGAATTATGGTGGATAGCCAAAACAACAAAAAGAGACAGGCCTTTGAACACCTAGGATACCCTTATCTCCCCTCAACCTCTAAAAATACGAAGAACTTGATATCTCCACAACTACTGCTCCAAATCCGATGACCCAAGGGTCAAAATGACGGCGTGAACTAGGGAAATCCGACCCTGAGTTTGCGAGAGGCGCACTCGAAAATTGTGTGGGAAAATCGCTTTTCAGTGCGCTGGGAAGGAGGAGAAGGTGATCAACACTGGGGAAACTGCTAATAAATGACTGTGGTGGGGTAATAGGCGATGTTGGGGGATGACTGATAAGCTATGAGAGCCTAGAAACATAAGAAACCCTCGCAGTAGGCTCCAGTTGAAGGTTCAACAATTCAGATGGTTAGTTTGAACAATGTTGGGTCTTGCTGCCTAGCTACATTGTTTAGAAGACAGTGTTCGACCATAAAGGGTTTCTGTACTAAGCTCAAAGCTCAGAGAGAGAGGAAAACTACTAAGACTCTGACTGGTGGTGAAAACTGGTGAAGAGGTAACTTGATTATGTAAGCTACAAAATAGCAAACATAAGGTAAAGACAGTATCTACAAGCCTAGTCAGGAATGAGTCTTTACACCGAAAAATCTTGATCATCTGGTCAACAGACGAGTGGGCCAAAAGTATAACATTTTAACTTTGAAACATATAAGTCACATGCCCTTGGTGATTATGTGGCGGCAATCCAAAGGTTTTGTTCAAGCAATAATTACTCAATACAGCCAGTATGTTCTTATTTTCATTTCTGCACTTACTAATGGATTCATTTCAGGGAGAGTGTGAACATCAATGAGTTAAATAGTTCTATCCTCGAGTAAGCAAGGCTAAATTCACTGCCAGCATAGCTAAACAGCAACATCACAAGACTCTATTGTTCAAGATGGCTAAAGCATCTCCATATTGAAAGAAAAAACAGAATAAGCAAGTTTCAGGCAAGCAGAAGGGTAAGGTCCTTCAGCTCTCTTCCCCTGATGCTCCTGCACTACATTTTGAGGACTCAGAACTGCTGCCTTACAGTGATCCACAAAATCACTATCATATCTCCACTGGCACTTAGTATCCTGTCAACATATACAAGTGGTTAAGGCAGCATACAAGTGACCCTGCATTTAATGTAAGTTGTTTGATTTGTGCCAAATTAAAGCCCACTAATGATCTTTAAAAACTTTCTACCTTGACTAAAAGACCATCCACTTTCCTGCCTGCTTGGACTAGAATATAATGGAGATGAGAGAGAGTTCATCTCTGTCATTCTTATCAGTGAGAAAATGTTTCACCACAAGATCCTTCACATCAACTATACAACATACAACCTACGCCATGATCAAGACTCACTAAATCCTCGTACTAATGCTGATGTTATGCTCCTTGCACACAAGGATGACAACAGTAATAGCCACTTTTACTGGTATGCTCATATCATCGGCATATTTCATGCACTCATTATTCACACTGGTGAGCACTCAAATTCTAATGCACCATAGCAAATAGACTTTTTCTGGATCTGGTGGTTTGATCAAAATCCTGGAACTGAACGGCATCCCTACACTGCTGGCTGGAAGGCCAAGAGACTCAAACAACTGGGGTTCATCTCAAGTGATGATTCTAGGGCTCTTGGTTTCCTGGATGCACAGCAAGTCATTCACAAGGTTCATCTCATTCCTGCCCTTGCATATGGTTACACTGATGTTCTTCTTCTACCCTCATTCACATTGGGACTCTATTATGTAATGAGGCATGAGCGGAAGATTAGAGTAAGGTCTTTGTGCGAACATGAGGTGTAGCATCAAACCTCTTGTTCCTGTGCTGCAATCACCATTAGTTGCTGCACAGCTCCCACAGCTCAATCATATTTTCCTCCGAGACAATCATACAACAGATTACATCAATTATTACTATACACTTCAGCCACCCAAAATAAATTCAGAATAAATATAGCCGCAAACCCACACTTGAGGTTATCCCAGACTTTGCTGGAGTCCTGTACAATGGCATTCATACAGACCTGGCCATTGCAATGAATCAAACTGAAGAGCAAATCGTGGCATGCCTGGAACAGACATGACGAAATGGCGACAACACAAGAATAGCTGAATGGAATCAATACTATAATAAAGAAGTACAAGCATTAGCAGAAGCCAAAAGAGCACAAGCCGCCCAAGAAGAAGCTAAGCACACACAACACAAAGCCAAAGCCAAGAAGGAACATCTAGAAGCAGAGAAGAAGAAGAAGCAAAAGATGAACAGAATTGATGAAGCATCATCCATAGGAGATTTCTTAAACCCTCATCCTGCGCAATATGCAATACAAAAACTCACTAATTTTGAATATGTAGGACTATGGTACTTCTCCCCGATAGTTGCAAGGATGCTCTTAGATCCTCACGCTCCATAGCTAAAAACGACCTGAGCATCACAAGGGTGGATGACCAGCTCACTTTGTGCCCGTCCTCAGCCTTCAAAGCATCCAAGGTAGCAATTGCAGACCATGAACTCCTGTTCTCAATATTCCTGAGGGTGAAGAACCTGTCCCTAGTCCAAATCAGCAAGGCAAAATGGCCCCAATTGTTACGACTTGGATGGTATCTGTTGGCGACGCTCAAACAGAGCTTGTGTCGTCAACGGTCTGTGGACGTCCTTGGGCTAGCCCAAGGTTAGGGGTCGTACTTGGCGTGTCTTCGGCAAGTACGATTTGACACCTATGTCCAAATCGGGTAGCTTATGTCACGCGGGTGCGAGACGATAAGCTATATCGGCCTAGGCTTACGACACCCGAAGGTTAATCGTAAGGATCGTCGTTAATTAGAAGGACAGAAGTCCGACTAGTTAACAGGGGCTTTACTCGTCGACGAAGTCGATGAGTAAAGGTCGAGACTATAGGCTTATCCGCGAAGAGCAGATAAGAAGATAGAATATAGACTGCTGGCGAGGCAGAAGGATCACTCTGGTGAGAGTAGGAGGTCAAGAACCAAGTAGATTCAAGTTAAGGAATATGGTACATGGTAGCGAGTTTATATAGAGGACAGGAGACGTATTAGTGGGTGATAACTCGTACTACCGGGAGAGGCAATCGGTAAAGGGTATAACTATAACAGGAAGGCACGTTCAGTCGAGGTAGAACGTGCTAGATAAGAAAGTGAGTCAAAGATCGAAATAAGAAGTGAAACGCACAGGGGCACGATCGTGCAGCTGCGGATCTAAGTATAAGTCGCATGTGCGACTGCGCACCGAGTCAGAGATCAAGAAAGGAAACGGGGCAAAGGGGATGCGTCGTGCATCATGTCATAGGTTACCGTCCAGACGGTAAGGGCAAGGGGACTGTCCGCAGGATCAGTCAGGTGGTGAAACGGAGCACGGGTATGCTTCGTCAGCGAAAGGGTCCGGCCAAATGTACTGGCTTTGCTGAAGTGACAGGTAGAGGGCGAAAGGGAATGCGAGGATGACAAGGATGACAAGGGTGAGGTCGGGGTAAGGGTATGATGCGAGGGCTGATACGAGGAGGATTAGGAGAAAAATGGTAGGGGCCCAAGCGTCTAGATGTTCTTGTAACACCAATTGCATATTGACACTCTCTCATGATTCTTCTGGCACCTCAAGAATCACTTGATCTGAAACAACAGTGATATTGGAGACCTTGTTGTACTGATGTATGCATTGTGTGTACATCAAGACTGGCATAATCACCTCAAACATGATGAAGGCTTCAACATCGGCAATATCAACAAAAATCTGATTTGGGTGATCAATGAGGAATTCTGGAACAAAATCTGATCCCAATCTTGGCTCAATGTATGTTTCAATTCAAACTGTCAGACAGATAGACATACTAAACTGCATTCATCCATATTACACCCCCCCTTTCAAACACACTTACCTTGAACAACCAACTTATTTATCTCTGCTCTGCCCATGATGACACTTTCATGAATGCCCATAACAACCACATGGATGCCCACAACCCACATGGATGCCTGTGCCCACCTCCACACGGTTGCTCATACACATGCTGTAGATGCCCACACCCACAACATAAATGACCGCCAACTACCTGCCAATCCACAGACCATGAGCAGAGACCCTCCGGTAAACCAACACTGCAGGTCCTGCTATCACAACTCATACAGCAGCACCCATGATCTTCTCAGCCAGAACCCATGCTCCTGTTTCTGCCATGAAGAACAGAGAACCAAAAGGAGTCAAGGACCACTTCACTAGATAAAAATCACAACCACAATCAGTACCACAGGGGTTTTTCTTAGGGCACAGGCTCACATAGCCTATCTGCCTGTGCCCTTTGTCTCGGCCATTTCTCACATGACATCAGACACTGCGAATCCTATCACCTATGGGACGGAGCCAACACTCACTGTCGACAGGCAAAAGATGGATGGCTCATCAACCCCAAAGGCCTACCCCTCTACCACAAATGGCAATGCCCAGGAAGTTGTCAAGAGACAAATCATGACACCTTACATGAATGCTCCAGCTGCAGAGGCAAGGAACACAGAGCCCAAACTTGCCCTTGCAGCGAGAAGGCTTAGAGCTCACACACCTTATAACACGGAAGCTTTGCTCTGCCTATTAGTTGAATCAGACCTCCTCTGCAGATACTCATCCATCCCAGAAGGACTCATATAAGGTTTCTCAGGTGGGATACCCTCAATTACATGTACATACTCACCAAACACGACCAGATAGATCACTGAAAGAGTTCAATGAAGATACCCACTTCCCCATCCGGAACTTGTCAGCACAATCACCATGATTGGTCAAAGACAGCCAATTTACATACAGCATGGAAGACATCAATGACACCTCGTCCAAGATGGACACGATATGGGAGATGTCGAAAGATGAACCCTTTAGCAACGAGCCCCCATACAGTGGCCTTGCATGGAACATCGAAGACCAGATAGTTGCCTTATCCAAAAAAAAGTGCATCAAATACTCCAAGGCTGTCCGATCTTGGCAATTGAGCAGAACACACACACTGCAAGAAGTCCAGAAACTCTACAGTAAACTCCTCCACACATGCCTCATCAAGCCAGAAGGCCATGCTTACCTCTCAACCCTGGAAAAAATACTGGAAATTTTCAAAGACTACCCACACATGGCACAAACTCCCCACGTAGCACTGCAAGCAACATTAGATGGTGGGAAGGACTTCTCAGTTCCCCCCATGTCATCTCCCCAATCCCAGGTCCATGCATCATTATCGATTTTCTTGCCTACTCAGATGCTAGTTCTGGCCATAGCATTGGCATTACTATCAATGGAAAAATAGCGTGCATAGAAACTCTCATCAGGCTGGAAGAAAGATGGCTGGGATATTGGATGGGTGGAGAGCATTAGATTTGAACTCCTTGTGTAGACAATCATGAGTGCTTGTACCACTGGCACTTATTTCAAAGTCTATGGAGATAACCGTGGTGTCATTAAGGGATGGTGGAAAGGATGCAACAAGAACCAAGCCTGCAATAAAGTCTTCAAGCGGATTCATCAGGTCACTTCCAGTACCAAGTACTGGATTCTTACTAGGTATATACCAAGCAAAGAGAATCCCACAGATGACCCATCTCACAGGATATATCCCCCCAAATTTGAATGCCTCCCTCTTATCCCAATTCCCTCAGAACTCCACCTCTTCCTCACAATTCATCATACACACAACCCACCCTCAAATCCTGACACTCATGTCATTGCCTCAAGCCCCACCTCCAACAAATTACTTCACACAATGAGAGACAAACACGAGAGACAAGAATGTGAGTGGTGCATTTGCATCAACCGTGAATTTAAAGTCAGAGGAACAGAACTCCTCCAAGCATGGCAAAGCTAGTAAGCACCACACTACAGAGCATGACCCACTAACCTTACAGCAAACAATCCAGCATATAGCCCCAGCCTAACCCCCATGTCATCACACCTGCACCTGCACTGTCCAGCAAAAGACAGGCTCTACCTGTGGCACCCAACAACAATACGTGCTGCAAAAGATGCTCAAGGAAACCACTCTCACTAACAGCCACAGACGTTCAATGCATACATGATGTCATGGTCCATGCATACTCACAGAGCATGCATGAGACCTATAGATTAGGTCTACTCATATTCCATGTGTTTTGTAACAGCAAGTCCATTGCCAAAGAACAAAGAGCACCAGCCAGCAACATGCTGATTGAAACTTTCATATTATGCATGGTAGGCAACTATTCAGGGAAGACAGTATACAACTACATCAACAGAGTTTAAGTGTGGCACATAATGTACAGCACAGCCTGGTCACTCAATGACATTGAGATCGAAGCAATGCTGAAGGCAGCCACATCACTCACTCCCGCATCTGCAAAATGCAACAAGTGCAAACCATACACCATAGACCTCATTATCGCCATTCATGAGAAGCTCAAACTCAACAAACCCTTAGATGCAGCAGTGTTCGCTTGCCTAACAACTGTTTTCTATGCAACAGCCAGAGTAGGTGAATTCACCATTCCGCATCTCAGTGCATTCAATGCAAACACGCACATCTCACTCAAAAACATCAAGGACACACAAGACTGGCAGAACCTTGTGACCAAAAACTTCCACCTGCCACAGACAAAATCAGCTCTGAAAGGCAAAGATGTGCACTGGGCAAAGCAAGCAGGTTTATCTGATTCTGAAGAAGTGTTCCTAAACCATTTGCAAATCAACAAACCTCCCCCCAAGTTTACACTATTTGTATACCATCACAAGAACAACACCCACCACTCACTCACAAAGTCAAAGTTTCTTGGAAGGTTAGCAGCAGCAATGAAAGCCGCAGGCTGCAAGCCCTTACAAGGGTATGGAATACAAATTGGGTCAACCCTAGAGTATCTCCTGCACAATGTCCCCTTCAAC